CTCGGTGCTGAGAGAGAAAATGCAAATGGAAATGGAAAGGAGAGAGAGAGAGAGGAAAAAAAGCCATCGTATCAACGTGAACATTCTTTTTTGTTTGTACGAGTGCCGGTGATGACGACAACGACGTCATCCGTATGCTATTGACATTGACGATATAAGCGGGTATGAAGTGTTTACGATACTAAATCATTTCGTCATGTGCGTGATGTTTGCAGCTCAGCACAGAGCAGTTGGAATAAATGTTATACATTTAAATTTTGCAGCCATCGGTCGTTCCTTTTCTGTTCATGTCTCATCCCGTAATTTTTTTTCTGGGGTCGTCGTCGCCGTTTATCGCTTGATGTGATAAAATTGTTAAGTCGATTGTTAACTTCATTTCTGCCTTGTTGAACCAAAAAGAGGCCCATTATGATGGTACATGTACCATAGGAATATACATTTTCCCTAGGGGTTTCACGCAAACTCGAAGGCCGAAGATTTTACTAAATAGGTGGAAATATAACCATTTTATGTGTATACTATAGATATTGCTTCTTTTTATTTATAAAACTGGGAATATCTAAGAATTTTTTAATCTAAAACTTCTGGAAGTGGGTTTTGGTGGATCCTCAGGATTGTTCAATACCGTTCCTGGTTCTGGAAGTGGATCCACAGGATGGACCAGGGCATTGTCAAACCCAGTCTGATCCATCCTGAAGATCCACCAAAACACACTTCTAGAACATAATTTTCGAGGTGAATGTTGAAATATTTTTAAATAATGGGGATTTTGGTGAATCCCTGGGAATGTGTGAGAAAAGAGAGAAATATTTAAATTCTAAATGAATTTTAAGTTGCGTGAAACCCCTAGCATTTTCCTGGATAACAAGTGGATTTTGCATTGTTGAAGGATTGATCTAAGTGACTTTTCACCGAAAATATGGCCGATCCATCTTGGAATTTGGCACCAACGCGCTTATTCATTCACGCCCAAGTCGAATTGTACCGAGCTTATTTCATCCGTCACCCCAATAATATGACGAAAGACAATAAACGTGCTGCTGCCGTTTACAGTCAGACATCTCATTAACAATTTATTTAGCAAAACTAGGAAAGAAAATACGCTCCAAGTCAGCCATCGTTTATGTCCCAGATTAAATAATAACCAGCTCTTTCAAAGACAACTTTTTGTCGTTCCGTTCTTTTTTCACGGCCTTTTAAAATTTTCATACTTATTATTCTGTGAAAATTTATGTGTGTAAATTCTTCTATTCATTCGTTGGCTTTGCGTTTCTTTTTGCCACACAGATCGACAGCACCTGTCTGCGTTTGTGTGTGTCGACTTCATTTTCTGTTCAAAAATTCATATTGCGATAAATTTTCGTTTCGTTTGATGTTTTTTTTTTGCATAAAAATCTCTCTCTTTCCACACAAGTCCACTTCAGCGGAAGAATCAGTGGCAGAAAGAGAAACAGTTGAATGTCTTTTTTCTCTTTGTCAGGGAAGAGAAAGAGAGAGAGAGAGAGAAAAAAAAGGCAAATTTCAATTTCCGTCATTGATAATATATTCGAATGCGTGTGCTTTTGAGTATGTAAATGGTAAAATCACAGTACTTTCATGGTTGTGAAACTTGCTCAGGCATTCGATGTGAAATGCTTCAGAGCGGAAATAAAATGTATTCCATATTAAGTAGGATTTACGTTTGCATATGAAAAATTTGTTGTTTTTGTTTTTGTTTTTGTGTGTATGTGTGTGTATGTGACATATAATCCGTTGTCTTTTTGCAGCATATACCGTCGTCCATTTCTCAAAGAACGCGTAGAAAAATCGCAATGAATTTCCTTTTAGCGAGCGGTACTTTGTGTTCTAGTAGAACCGTATCGTTATCATTGCATTTCCCATTTGTCCGGGAATTAAAAAAAGAAGCATTTTTCTTTATTCCAACTTGGAATTTCCTACTGTGAATGAATTTCACGCGCAGCAGTCAAAACAAAAACGTAAAACGCTACATCTAAGCGAGCGCGCGGCGCCCTCGTTCATTGTCCCCATTATTTAAGGCGAGCAAAGAAGAAAAACCAGCACACAGAAGCCAATGGCACGAAAATCCCGCATTCTTTTTCGTTTGCTCAGCTCGACGCTTTGATGAACGCTGATTGAGCATGAGATTTATTTGTGAATTGAAAAATAAATCTCGTTTGTGTTCGGCCATTTGTTTCAATTTGATTGATTTATCTGAAGCTAATTGTGTGAAGGAATCTTGATCGAGGCATTGCAAACAAACCGCTAATGATATGCGACCAGCCAATGTTTATATTACGTTTTACATGGATTTTAGACGGTTTTTTTTCATCTTCAATGATAATACATTTCTTCATTTTACGATTAACAAATTGTATGAATGTGGCAGTAGGCGTTTAATTGTATTTGAGTTTGATGATGCGATGATTTTGGTTTTTATTTACATTCCGCAAAAAATAAGAAGACGATTGTGTGCTCGGAGGACAATTGATGCGGTGGAAAGCGGATCAACCGCATGCGATAAAAAATTTAAAATCCTTTAAATGCATAACAACGACGATTGTGGCACAACAAAAGACACACAATTCATGGATGGAGAACGAGAAAAGTAGAATCATATTGAAGTATAAAACATTCATTTAAAGATATACGACACACCAACGGCACAAAATACGGAGGATACAAGCGTTTCATTTCGGCATTGAGATGAGAGAATGTTGCATATAAATTGAAAATTTTGACTGTACAATTGAGGATGGCATCGCGCAGAAGTTTGTCGGCAAACCCACATGATATAGTTGCAGTTTGTTAAAAATTCAGGTCACAGGTGCCTGGCGACGTGCAATCGCAACACACACTCAGAACCATTAATCTCATGAGCTCTATATCGCTTCCAATTTGGGACAGCCAGAAGTTGATTCCCACTCCACGTGCAATGAGTTTAAACTTGAATGCGGAGTGGAAAGGGAAAAATAAAACAATCAATGGACGATAATTAAAAAGAGTCGAAATTCCATCATCTAAAATTCATATCCCGAAGATTGAGTTCAGCAACATCGTAGTCTGGAAACTACACTACGCATTTCAAATCCACTTGATTTCCATAAATTCATTGCGAATTTCCAATTTTGAAATGCGTCTACACATCACATAGGGATGAATTGAGTTAGGAGTTCAAAGGCGTCGTCCATTTGATATACGATTGAACTTTGGATCAATTACTTTGTTGTGTTGACCATTGAGGTCAAGCAAACTGAGCAATATCTGTTGAAATTCGACGAAATACTCTCATCTCCGGTTGAATGCTCTAATATTTTGACAGATTAAACTTAATTACAATATCAAATCTGCAGATGTACTATAAATCGATAGAAAATAGCAACCATTCCATGGAATTGCAATCAAAATTTGAGCTTCAATATCAATAAATTAATTTATTGTACAATTGATTCAATTAATTTTGACATTTGTTCGTTATCAATGTGTGATAATGATTGTTTGCGTAGGTTGTCACCATAGATTTGACTTTGCCATCGGCAAACAATCGTAAAGAATACCAACAATGTGTGTATGTGGCAGTAATGGCAATCATTTCGATGCTATCTCTTTGAGCAGCCACTCTCCACTGATCCGAATCGACGGCATTCGTGAAGAACTGAAAAAAACTCAATTCGCCGTAGATCGAGTGCGCCGTATCGTCTTGTCTCTATCCACTTGGAGAAATAAACACGGTGCGATTTCATTGTTGTGCCGGTAGCAGCAACAAAATTCTTTCCCGCGTAAACGACGATGTCAATTTCATTTTGATTTCATCACATCACTCACTTGAGCCAAATCACACCAACACGCACAGGTGACATGTTGGATGTTACACCAAGCCAACCGTGTAATTTTTCAACATTTTAACAGCCCCTTTCCGTTTTCTACAACACCTAAGTTAAGAAAGAAATGAATTCGATTAACTTTAACACCGAGAGATGCACGAGTTACTCCCGTTCTCCACCTATTACAATCAACAACTTTGTCTTTGAATAAAAGTCATGGTTTCTTTTGTCACGGGAGGAATGGGACGATGGTGGAAACAACGCTCCGAAGAACCAAATCTGTAATTAATTTCACGAAATTAGGAAAAGAATTAACCGGATTAAGAGTTCGGGCATGCATTTGAATGAGAAGAAAGTTCCATGATACACTTGAATCGGAAACATATGCTGCTACATGTGTTCGCTGACTGAATCTCTCTTTTTTCACACTCTTTTGTTTAGCAACTTTCACACATATGCGACAAAAAGATGTTCACTTTTTTTCTGCATTCATTTACGGAGATTGATCTATATGAAGAGAGTCAGTTTGGAAAGAACGCATCTCTCTCTCTCTTTCATTTGGAACAGATTCTGTATGAAGAAATGTCACTTTATGGAATGAGGAAAAACAAGAAATATACCGCTGAATGTTGCTGTCAATGTGAATTGGGTGGGTTAATCGATGCAGAAATATTGTGTTGCCTCTGGTGTGTGTCTGCCTTTGCCAAACGAAAGAGGACACCACTGGAGGCCTGCACGTAGAATTGTATGGTTGCTTGTGGAAAAAAAAACAGTTTGGTTTTTTCCAATTTTTTTTGTTTCTTCTCTTTCTTTCTTCCTTCGATCAAACATTTTCATTTGAATTAGAATTTTTTCCCCCACCAATAATCTTTTTTCATTATCTATAGCAACAAGAAAAAGTACTGTGTCACCACCAATGAGTGAACAAGTTCACATTAAAATGGAAATAAAATGTGTTTGCATCATCATTATCAAAGATGGTTAAACACCAGGGTGTTAAACTGTTATTAAAATAATTTACTTGTTTATTATTATTAAATAAGAAATTAGCATAAAACTGAAACATGCAATAAAATGCTCAAAACGGAAAACACGAATTCATTACTGTTATGGTCGTTATTCAAATGGGGCTATAAAAATTTTTCCTCAAAAAACAGTTTTTTTGTCAACGTCAAAAATTTAATGTTGTTTCGGTAATTTCATCATCAAAAACTGTTCCGCTTCCAGTGTCAACTCTCTCAAATTGCGCAGGCAATTTGCGGCTCCATGTCTCAGAACAGCATCGTCCGAGAGAATGTCTTCGAGCAGTACGGGCACAACGCCACTTTGGTACATTAGAATGGCGTTGATTGGATAAGCGGATAATTTGGCTAATGCCATTGCGGCAGCTCGTCGAACATTTTTATTATCCGAAGTGACCAAGTTGACAATCAATCGAATCACTTTCAGTTCACCGAATTGTTTCGCATTCTCCGCGTACGGTGTGCAAGCAGCAATGGCAGCTGTCACTTTCTCTTCAATTTTTTTATTTTCTGTGTGTATCAAGTCAGCAAGCAATGGAACCACTTGATATTGGGTCAATATAGCGAGATTATAGGTGTCTTTGGCGATTTCGACAATGAGTGAGCAAATGGCATTCAATGTGGTTTCGTTTTTAGATTTCAGTGAGCTTGCTACTAGTTCCAGTCCATTATCTAGTTTCCGAAGATACTCCGCCGAATCATTTCCGTCATCATGTTGCAGATACTCGCACAATGCATTCGATGCAGCTGTTTGAACATGTGGATTTTCACTTCGTAACAATGACCACAAAAATGTGATTCCATCCAATGTTCGCATTTGTTGTGCGTATGCTGGGTATTTGCATACCTTCGTTAGAACGTGACAATATTCAATGCGTAGCGTGTCGTGTTCGATGTAGAAAAAATCCAAAATCACTTTCAATGCATCGTCCTGGAGAAAAATGTCGACGAGTTTTTTTTCGTACAGCAGCTGAGAAGCGAAACCGCAGACATTCGCCAGAATGTCATCGTTGAAACTCATCGAGAGAAATTTGGTTAAGAGCGGCAATACACGCAATTTGTTGAATTGCTGAGCATTGTTTCGATGTGTTGCACATGTATAAGCGGCGGCTGTGCCTGCCAGCATCAAATCGTTATTTTGCCAATAATCTTCACCTGATAAAATGTTCACAATCTGCTTGAGTCCATGATTCTTCTGGATTAGTTTGCTTGTTTTCGGACTTTTGCCGCATTGTGCCACGATTCCACAGGCATCTGTCAACAGGCCTTGATCCTTCGACGCCAATTGCTTCGTCACATCAACAATCACTAGCTCTGTTTCCAATCCCAGCTGGATGACAATATCATGCGAACAAACATTACACAATCGCAGCACGGCACGAATCAATGGCACTTGCACTGTTTTCAACAGTTCGCTAATGCTGAGAATTAGGCCACCCTTCTTAGCATCCGTAAGAATTCTCAGTGAACTCAATATTGTACTCAATGCTTTCGACGCTGACACCGCTAAATCGATGAAAACGGCTTCTTTTGCGGTCATTTCCTCTGTGGTTTTTTGTAAAAGTCTTCGGTCGAAATTCAAACCGTCGATGATTTTGTTAACGACGTCTGATTCGTGAATGATTCGTCGGGCCGGTTGAATGTTTGCCAAAATGCCCAAAATATCAATTGCCAAACATTTTATATCGTGCAATGGTTCGGTAACAATCTTGCAAAGTGATTCGATTACGTTCATGTCGACCATGTACCTTCGCATGTCGATATTCGTTGACATCTCCCGCAGTACGTACAGTGTGCCGAAACGACACACTAAATCATTGATTTTGCACAAATTGACCAGCGTCTCAAGGCCACCAATCGAAAAAATCGCACGCTGATTCAGTTGCTTTGTTAAATCATAGTCTCGAATGCAGCACAGACAGGCATTGGTCACCACTTGATTGCCGATTTTCATGAATTTTACCAATTTCTGTATGGTCCAATATTCGATCGGTAGATCTTGTGTTTTTCGCTCTTTTTCTCGCCATCGCGCCTCCTCGTAGTCTTCATCCAAGAAACCCTTTTCACTGATATGATCCATTTTGCTGATGTGATACAAAAAGCCACTTTTGGTTGAGATACTTTTACAATTTTCTATTTAGTGACACATAAATCGATGTAATTGTGATTGGCTACTTTTCAGATTTTTTTGTTGTTTCGATTGTTGATCAAACAATAATGAAAACATTAGATTAAAAACTAGGCTCGTTTCATGACAAGTACACATTTTTTCAATGTTGTTCATGAAATACAAAACTTCAATTTTGTTCTGGAAAATAAAAACGAGAAGGTCGATAACGTTTTTTGCTCATGAATTTTATTGTGGTTCATGATCGAAAATACGAGATGCAAATCGAAAATTTGTTGTTTAAACAACAATATGTTTCATTAGAATGTGCCCGATGAAGTTATTCAAAACAATGAATAATCTAATATTATGAGCCAGATCGAATTACACATGCAATTTTTTATTTCCTTTCCAAATTTTTCATGGGATATTTAATTGCTGCATTATTTTAATTGAAGTATGTTGCATTATGAATCGATTCTCCTAAATTTCATAGATAGCCTTCGCAAATAAGAATAGTTTCGACAATATGTTATCTCAAAAAAGTATGGAATGAAACAAAAATTGGAGAAAAATTTTATGATTTGAAGAAAAACGTTTGATTTCGGAAGAACTGAGGTTTTTCCTCCTTCGAAAGGAAAGAAGAAAAAAATGAAAAAAAAAACCAAACTGGTTTTTTCGACAAACAACCATACAATTCTACGTGCAGGCCTCCGGTGGTGTCCCCTTTCGTTTGGCAAAGGCAGACACACACCAGAGGCAACACAATATTTCTGTATCATCCATCCATTGGTAGACCTGAAAGAGAAGGAACAAAGGCAATCAATCGAGCAAATTCACCAACGAATTTTACTTACCTCGTACTTACCTACGGCGGAATCGAACATGCGACCATTTAATTACTAAACTCACACTTTAACCACTGAACCATTACGCCGTCGAGTTAATGTGCGTTCGATTGTGCACCGACGATAGATTGAGTTTGTGACGACACACTCTTCTCCGTTGATGTTTCTGTACGTTATCATTGTTGTTGCCGTCGATAGCATCGATAAATATTCGCACACAGTTCACATTGACAGCAACAGTCAAGACAAACGAAAAAGGCTCGTGTCTTTTGTTTAAAAATCGGTTTAATACAAAGAATTGGTTTATTTTTAATCAATTTTTTGGTTTTACTAGAGAAAAAAATGGCATTTTTCCGTCGTTTGCATATTTTTGGTATAATTCAACAATTCATTACAGCACACACCGCGTGTTTTTTCATCAGCAATTGCTTATTCGTTCTTCATTTCCGCATTTTTGTGTGTGTCAGTTCGTGTTCTAAAGCAATGATTTTCCAATTTCAAATTACGTCAATGGAATAAAAATACGATAAATTGTCGCCGGATTGCGTTTATAAACCGAATGGATATTTCGTGCTAATTCGGGCGTTATTAGAATCAAGTCCTTGATGAGTACAACTGCACACCAAAAAGTGTTTTTCACTATCCCATGATTCGAAGCCAATCTCAATTCAAATCAATAGCAACAATTGAAAGATTGTTTCAATTCAATCAATAATGCCACTGCCTAGGCGCAGACAAAGGCTGAAATTGGCAAAAATAGACGTTTTTTATACGCAAATCGTGTTACATTCCATGGCGATCGTGTGCGATTGCAATGATAACGAAAATTAGAACGATTTTTTTCCATGTGAGGGTGTTTTTTATTCCATTTTCATATCGATCAGCTGTGCTGTATCGAAACGATAATGATCATATAATTTTTAATACGCGATTGGAGTTCAATCACACGATAAATCTGTGTAACAGTAAAAAATTTCCAGTGTACAAAAGAGTATTTAAAGGGCGAACATCGAAATGGGAGAATCAAATGGAAATTCATGTCAGTAGTGTAACTATCATCTAAGCTAAATTAAGTAATTCTCGATATAACCGAAAGGAAAGAATTCATTATTAGTAATAATAATAATAAATAATAATTTATTACAATGAAAAGAGTTCTTTTAATCATCGCCATACTATTTGTGATAGCAAGAAGAGAATCTCACGTCACGAATGGATTTTACATACTTAATAGCAAATTCGCAGATGTGATATCTATGATGAATGCAACGTCAGTTGAATCGAATGTGTTGGTTAATAACTGTCGGAGTTGCAAATGGTGTAAGTTAAAATATAAATAATTCAATTCAAATGCCATAATCCGATTAATAAACATTGTGATATTTCGCACAGTCGTCTCTCTGCTTCGATTCTATTTGATGATTGGCGAAAGTGAAGAGAAAATTCTGAAAATTGGAGTAGCAATGTGTATTCGCATGAAAATCCAAGCACCAAGAGTGTGTGAATCAGGCATTCCCTTGATGGGTGCAGAGATAATCCGAATCGCAAGGCGAGTGCACTCATCCACGGATATGTCAGCGGCTGAAGTTTGTTCTTTCTTCTTCGAAGAAATTTGCACCGAAAAGATTGAACGTGAAATACACAAGTGGAATGTTGCATTGACACCGTTTCCAAAACCAGAAATTAAAGAGGTCCGATTGCCAAAGAAAAATGTGCATACCCTAAAAGTTTTACATTTATCCGATACACACATCGATCATCTGTATGTTGAGGGAGCAAACGCTGTCTGCAATGAACCGTTATGCTGTCGAGTGAACGATGGAATGACCAATGTTTCGTATTCAGCCGCTGGCAAATGGGGATCATATCGATGTGATTTGCCAAAGCGAACTCTTGAGCATCTTTTGGATCATATTGCGGAGACACATAGGGTGAGTATTAAGGAACATTCGGTCATTGGACTTTTTTTTTTGAAAACCATGGAAAACCATCTCTTTTTTCAAATAAATCTCATTTCGGATGATCAATTTTGTTTGGCTTCAACTATTCTTCCAGGACATTGACTATGTGATTTGGACGGGTGATCTAGTGGCTCATGACGTTTGGATGCAAACCAATGAAGATGTCATGAACACAATCGAGGAAAGTGTCCGATTATTGTCAGAGAAACTGCCAGGAATACCGATATTTCCTACGATGGGCAATCATGAGCGTTCTCCAGTCAATTCGTAAGGCAAAAAGACTCTTAAAATCTGAAATTGTAGCTGACATTGTTCAATTGATTCCGATTTTTTAGCTTTCCAACAATCGAGCAAGACAGTTCAATATCCGTTTTTTACAACGACATCAATACGCTTTGGAGTCGTTGGTTGGTAGGAAATGTTTCGAGCACACTGCGAAAGGGTGCGTTTTATTCAACTTTAGCACGACCTGGCCTGCGCATCATTTCGTTAAACATGAATGCTTGCAATGACTTGAATTTTTGGCTCATCGAAAATTCCAAAGATCCCTCTACACAGCTGAAATGGTTGATACATGAATTACAATTGGCCGAATTTTCAAACGAAAAAGTACACATTGTCGGACATATTCCGCCAGGGTACGAGGATTGCTTGAAAACTTGGTCACATAACTATTACGAGATTATTGCTCGTTTTGAAAACACGGTTACCGCTCAGTTTTTTGGCCACACGCATAGCGATGAGTTTGAAGTGTTCTATGATCCGAAAAATTTGAGTGAGTACTTAATGCTGAGTATTAAGTTGTCATTCGGTTTGGTTGTGAATCACAAATCTTGATTTGCTATGATTCCATACATTTTACATCTTTGCATTGATCGATTTACCTGTACGAAGATTCTGCTTCACACAATGCCAATTCAATTTGTTTCTAGGTCGTGCAACGAATATAGCCTACATTGGGCCATCAGTAACACCATACCAAAATTTAAATCCAAGCTATCGAATCTATTACGTTGATGGTGATCACAATGAAACGACGCGATCGGTTGTCGACCATGAAACATGGGTTTTGAATCTACAAGAGGCAAACATGTTAGATAATCCAATTTGGCGTAAGACATACTCAGCTAGAGCAGATTATTCGATGCAAGGACTACGACCGACAGATTGGCATGATCTCATCGAAAGAATGAAAGACGATGATGAGCTGTTTAAAAAATATTTCAAGTAATTTATCATTTTGACTTTGGTTTTGTTCCATAAACACCGAATTTTACGACTTGGCTTTGTGTTTCCTACAGGAACTATTGGAAAGGTTCACCCTTCATAACAGAATGCCCGGTAGAATGCAAACGAGAAATTTTGTGTCAGGCAAAAAGTGGACGGAGTCATGACAAATTGAATCTTTGCATTGATTTGCTAGACATAGTCGAAAGAGACTACAGATCATCAGAGATACCACACGAAACTGTGCCAATAAGCTCACAACCGACGCTTCAATTAAACACAATTTGTATTTGTATTTATAGTTTCTACATTTTAACGACATTCGTGACGTTTTCATTTTAAAATCGTGTCTCAGCTGAGCTTGTCAAAGATGCACACAGCACAAAAATAAAGGTTAGGTTAATCATTGTGTCGATTTTTCGTTCATGACAAGCAACAATCTTTCGTGGCAAAAATCTTCAAAGTGTTTTTTCAATGTTCAACTAATTTGTAGCTCAAGAGCATGAAAGAAAAGACAAAATGGAAAAAGGAACAAAAGAGAGAAAATAAAATTCAAAACATATGCAATTTTGTATTGTAATGCTTGTTTGTATTCGTTTATTTGACATTTGTAACCATAAAATATTCTTCTTCGTACTAAACCGATCTTAGCATCTTTTGTTTGCCTAATGAGTTAGAAAAAGGAAAAAAAAATCACAGAGCGTTCACTGAACACGGAACGCCGTTCAGTACTCCTTTTGCAGCTCTAAAATTGCTTGTGAGATATGGCTGACTTTGGTCGGATTGTCTCCGTTTTCCTGAATAAACTTGATGAACTGAATCAGCGTGTTGCACTGTGAAAAGAGGCTCTTCTCTTCAGCTTTATAGAAATCGTCCATGTTTGCGTTGATATTCAGCGTTCGATATTTTTCTTCTTGTGATTCGGACAGCAGTCGCATCGCATTGTTGCCTAAACAGAACCGAATTTTTTTTAAAAAAAACACATAAGTCTCACGCAGTTTCGTGTCTTTGCTTATTGTTTTTATCATTGAAAATCTTGATAATGGGTAATTAAAAGCTTACGTATGTTGATGTCTCTCTTTAAATTCTGTTTGATTTCGGCAATTTTCTTGGAATATGGTTTCGGGGTGAGTTGTCTTGGATTTGTTAGTAATTGGTCGTGTTTGCGTGCTCGGGTTGCTGGAGCGATTACTGGTAATTTTTGGCTTTGTACAGAAATGGTTGAGCGACGCTGTGTAATTTTAGCGGCTTTTGGAACAGTTGCCATCGGTACTAACAGTTCTTCTGGATCATTGCTTGTGTCTGGTTTATTATTTGTATTGGTGGAAGCACGTCGTTTTCGCTTCGGTTCCTCAACAGCCACATGACTTTCAACAGTACGATTTCGCTTTTGGATAATTGGCTTCTTTTCAGTCGTTAACGCTTTCCACAAATCGGATTCACTATCACTATCTACACTTGTTGGGTCTCGTTTTCCACTGGTCACTGAAATCAAACCCAACAATGATTTATTTTGTCTACCATAAATATCATAAAACTTATTTCCCAAACACTCTAACGACACTTCGGTGATCAGAAAATTTATTCTATCCATTTTGTCGATCGTTAAATGACTCATTGAGAGTTAAATTTTACAGGCGTTCCTGAAGCTACAACATAAAAACCAACTTAATGCGAACCGCTTGTCAAAATAATGTGTGTGTGTGCATTTGGCATCCGATGCCAAACTCTGTCGGCAAAATGCCGAACTAGTCGAAAATGTCACAGGGCCATATGGATTACGGTAGCCAATAATGACATTGAACGAAGTGTTCAAGATAAGCAAAAACTGTTACCATTCACAATGCGAACGGAATTCAACGGTTTTTTAAATCAAATTAAGGTTTTTTTCCTTTTTCAAATTCAACGTAAACTTATGATCTTGTTCTCCATACTCATCGCCAATCTCCGTTTTTTTTTTGCCCCAAAATTCCATTCTTTTTGTTCTTTGATGCATGCATTTTAATTCGCTTTCTGAAACAAATAACACTGAACGAGAAAAAAAAAATGAAATAAAACACCATTGGATTTTACATTAATTTATTGTAATATCATTCCATATGTTTCCTTAAACTAAGTTCTTCATCTTCATTTGAAATGTTTTCATGAAAATATGCCTTGTGTAATTGAAGATTATTTTCTCTGTTATTTTGCGTTTATCGAAAATGAATTGCCTTGGTTTTGTTTATGTGAAACATTTCGTGTGAGAAAAAACAAACAAAATATTCAAAATGATTGAACCAAAAAAAAAATGTATGCAAAACGATGAAAAGTGTTTCTCTTTTTGTGTGTTGATTCTTTAGATATAAATCACACTAGAAGTTTGTATTTAGTGTGTACCAAACAGATTGAAAACAGCAACAGAAATTCCAAATTAAATTAAATAAAAAAAAAACGGTATGGAAATAATTAAAAAAATGTAGTCAAAGTATATGTAAGTATGTTTGCTAATTACAACATTAAGACGAATCATAACTTATTAAATAGAGATTTCAACACGATGAACTTTCACTTGTTCTTTCTGTTCTGTTTTCTTGTGCACCAGTGCATCGATATTCCGATTTATCTTTATCGCTTCATTGCAACTGGATATTACACATACACCCAACAAACTAACCTATAAGATTAAACTCATGTTTTTTTTTCTTTTCTGATTAATGGATTATGCGTGCTTTTGTCTGTATGTATGGGTTTGTTTTTTTTTTGCTCGCTTAAATGTATTTTTGTGTAAAATTATTTAGTTCATGTAGTCGGATGGGGCGTTTACATGTCGAAATCCGAATCAGAGTCATCGTCGATGCAGTCATCTTCATCGCTGCTTGACAACGCCTTCTTCTTCGCCTTCTTTGCTGCGGGCTTCTGTAAATCCAAATCAGTTTTGTTAGCAAATTCAATTAAAATTCAAAGTACTTTGAGGCACAAATCGATCATTAAGACTCTTGTGATGAAAACCACGAAAAAACGACATTTTTTTTTAGTTTAAGCTGTGAAAAAGAACGATTTTTCAAACAATTTCATTTGGAATTACCTTGATTGGTGAATCATCATCGGAGCCGGCTGCCTTTTTCGATCGTTTTGTGGCTTTTGTTGATGAATCTTTCACCACTTCGGGTTTGGCGCCGAGTTTGCGCGGTTTGGGCTTTGGCTTTGGACTTTCTTCCTTCAATGAATCGAACAGATTGTCACTTTCATCGAGATTGACCTGATGCATGGACGCTTCCTTGACGCCAGTGTTGTCGAGCAAATTATCTTCGTCATCACTACTGAATGGCTTTGAATTTGAATCATCGTCACTGTCGTCAAGTAATTTGGCGTAATTAACTTTCTAAAAAATTGAATGAACAATGAACAATGCATCAAAATCAAATGAATAATGAGTTGAATTCGATGACATTCAAACACAAATGTCTTCCATTCAATTTCAAGTTATTATTTTATGAGAAAATAAATCAGTCGATTTAAAATGTACCTTGGTCGCAGCGCGACGGCCGGATCCTTCACGTTTTGGTGGTGATGTGAAACTGTCATCATCGAAGTTGTCCTCATCGAATGAGTCTTCACTCTCACTGCCCTTTTTCTGCAAAACCGAACAGATATTATGATATGATTTTATTCGTCTTACGTCAAGAGTGTGTCCAATGAAAAACAAACCTTCTTGCCGAAGCTGATTTTCGACTGTTTGAGACCGTCAGACTTCTTTGCCTTTGGTTCTTTCTTCACTTTCGGCTCTTTCTTCGGTTTCGGCTCCTTTGCCACTTTTTCTTTTTTCACGACTGAATAATGACAAAATTGAAATTGAACTTTTTAGAATATTTCCTTAGAAAAGAAACAACGCTGTTCGAAATCGAACGGTTTGCATATGAAAAAAATTGTTTAAAATGCATACGATTTGCTTTACCTGGCTTCTTGTTGACCAAATTGTCGAATTCATCGACTTCACCACCTTCACCTGCGGCTCCACCTTCTTTCTTGGCCTTGGCACGAGCGCCAGCCGCTGCCATCTTCTCGTACTTCTTGAGAATTTCGTCGGTGACCTTGAATTCCACCTTAATACCATCAGACGATGGATAAATCTCTGAATTCCTACCCTTGGCGGCAGCACGCTTGCGCTTACCAGTGGCTGCTACGTTTGCTGCCAACGCTTTCGCTGTCTTCTGATTGGTGCCCAATTCTTCTTGACGCTCTTTCTCTTCGACTTCATCCAATTTCTTTTCGAGCGCTTCAAGATCAGCTTCCCAAAGACTTTCTGGTGTTTTTGCTTTGAGTGCCGCCAACTCAGAGAGTTTGGTATCACGCTGCTTGAGCAATTCATTTTTGCGTTCTTCGGTCAACATCCACATTGACATACCCAAGAGGTAGTCGAACTTCTTGACATCGGTCAAGTTTTGGAATGCTTTTTCTGGATCGGCCGGTTTTTTCGGTTTTTTGTCCGAAGACGTACCCTCTTCTTCTTCCTCTTCAATTTCGCCTGGAGCCTCCTTTTGAGTCAGAAAATAGAACGAAAAAAGACCATTCAATGAAAATGTTTGGAAAGTTTCCCGATGGAAAAGTTGAAATTGGAAATGAATGTTCGAAAACAAAATGCTTTTTCTCAACGATTTTTTCCTCTAGATTCCGCATTTCATCTATGCATAAACAAATGAATTACCTCTTCATCATCTTGTGCCACCTTGCGTTTCCATTCCTTGACTGGATCGGCATGATAGCCTCGCTTGATGAGCTCATCGATCATGGTCTTGCGCTTCTTGTTTTCAACGGTAAGTTGACCGCTGCACTTCTCTTGAATGAATCGAGCTTGATCACTCAAACGGGCTGCTTCGGCTGTCAACGAACCGACCAAATAATCTTTTCGCTTGACGTAGTATTCTAAACGCAGTGTGTAGAAATCGTTGAGAATTTCGTTGACCTTTTCGTATCGGCGCAAGCAGTTGTCCTTATCGAATGCATGCATGGTGGTGGTTGACATGCTGGCTGATAACTTGAATACCCTATGGAAACCACCTTCTTCAGAGTCCAAACGTTGGAATTCGCCTGGAGCGAAGCTGACGACAAATCGAACGGTGGTATGCGTATGGTATTCCTTGTAATCCGTTATGGTTGGCTTCTGCTTTTCGCTGCCGTGCAACATGGGCTCAAGTACATTTTCCTTGTACGTTTGTGTCCATGTGCCGATCGGTAATTCCGTGATTTCGATTTTGACATCTTCAACGATGGCAACATTTCCGTTTGTGAAGTAACGTGTCTCGCCGACCTTTTCGATGGAACCTTTGAAGTTCTTGTACCATGGATGCAATGTGTCTGGTTCCTCGCCATGAATCATTTTCCGTAAGCTGCGAATGATCTGACGTGGATTATGGTTCGGAATCTTGGTCGACCATCCAGTGCCGATACCCTCGCATCCGTTCACTAAAACCATCGGAATGATTGGAATGTACCAAATTGGTTCGATCTTTTGATTGTCTTCCAACTGGTATTGAAGCAATGGATCATCGTGTGGATGGAAAATCAGTCTGGTCAACGGTGACATCATTGTGTAAATGTAACGAGGGCTGGCGCTGTCTTTGCCACCCGACAATCGAGTACCAAATTGACCGTTTGGCATAAGCAAATTGATGTTGTTGCTACCAACGTAGTTCTGTGCCAAATTGACGATTGTCATGCAGAGTGACTGTTCACCGTGATGGTATGCCGACTGTTCGGCCACTGAACCTGCCAATTGAGCAACTTTTACTTCACGTTTATCATTACGCTTGAGACACGTGAACAGAACCTTTCGTTGACCCGGCTTCAGGCCATCGACAACGGATGGAATCGAACGAACGTTGTCAGCATTTGAGAATAAAACCAATTCCAAGTTAACAAACTCGGAGTAAGAAATCTGTTTCGTTGTTTTCGTGTAGAGATATTGCTCTTGCAATCCCAATTCTTTGCGGCGTTTGCAATCATCCATATGGGCTGTGAGCCATTCCTTACGTTGATCGACCGCTTTCTTTGCGAATGCCATGACAATGTTTTCATCGTCTTGGGTACCATCGTATTTAAAGAGAATCCGATGGCGATCCATGTTCGTGAAATACTCTTTGGCTTCGGTTGCCGTTGAAGTACCCAAACCTTTGTAGTATTTGACATTGTATGTGTGATGGTTTGGTGTGGCGGCTTTCCATTCTTCGAACTCGGGCAACGAGTAAAACGACAGCTCTTCATTCTTCTTCTTTACCTTCACAATGGGCGTGATGAACTCCTCCAAGAATGGAAGACGCAGCAATTCCGGCCAGTTGGTGTGAATGAAATTGATGAGTAAACCTGCGGGAGTGCGAAATGAAAGGGAACATTGGAATTAGTTTCGTATCACAGCTTAATCTCTTGTCTTTGGTTGAAGAATTTTCAATTTGACATTGTTGACATTTTTCCTCTTGAAATGTGACATTTTACCTTTGATATGCGAACCATCCTGATCCTGATCAGTCATGACCATAACCCTTCCATAACGCAATGTTTTCAAATCCTCTTCTGTCAGATACTTTTTCTTGTACTGCAAACCGATGATCTTGATCAAATTGTTGATTTCGGCATTTTCGAGAATTTGCTTGTGGGTTGCTTCACGTACATTCAGCAATTTACCACGCAGTGGAAACACACCGAACAAATCACGACCAACCACACCAAGACCAGCTACGGCTGTTGATTTGGCTGAGTCTCCCTCCGTCAAGATTAACGTACAATTCAATGAATTCTTCGTACCAGCATCGTTGGCATCTTCCAACTTTGGGATACCGCGCAATTTTGAATTCTTTTTGCCGCTCGTCTTGGCCAAATCGTTTTGTGCCTTGAACTTGGCCCATGACAACACCGACTCAAGGATGCCACTTTTTGTGACGCCATTGAAGAACTTTTCGGAGAGTTTGCATGATGATCCGAAACTCTTGGTCTGCAATGTCATGTTTTCTTTTGTTTGCGAATCGAACGTCGGATTTACGATCAAACAATTGATGAACACCCACATGTGAGTCTTCACCTGGAATGGCTTGATGCTCACACCACCTTTGTTTTTCTGTACGGGAGAAAGAGGAATGAAACATTTTTTTTTATTAGCTTGAAATTCAAAAATTCAGTTGGTAGCAGGTATTTTGTGTTCAAATATTCCATATTTTGATAGAAAATCCAAGTGTGGAAGGAAACTCAGTCAAACTGTACCTTTTTAATCGTTTCGATCAATTGTTTGACAATCATGTCGGTGATATAATCAACGTGCCGTCCACCTTTTGTCGTTGCAATGGAGTTGACGAATGAAACCTGTTGGAAACCACGGTCGGAGAGTGTGACAGCCACTTCCCAGCGTTCGTTGGGAGCCTCGTACACGACTTTGAGTGGTGAACCAGAATCGTCGGCATTGTCTCGGATGTACAAATCGATGTAATCCTTGAAATTTTTGATGGGTAATTTCTCGCCATTTAAATACACGGCGACGCCACGTGTTGATGCTGCAATCTGAGTGTGCCAAAGGGAAATGCATGGTTTTAGTATTGAAATCCTCGAAAAACACTCAATTTATTTATCGTAATTCTTTAAATTTCATTATTTTCCCTAAAACTTACATCGTACGCACGACGCGACATTAATCCAACGATGTCGTTGTCGAGCTTTTCCATTTTGAACTTAGACAAATCGGGTGTGAATGTGATCTTTGTGTAGTCCTCACCGCGGAAATCGGCAATTTTTGGTTCGGCCGCTTTTGACATATTGCTGCCCCATGTTTGCTTGAAGCACTTTTTGTACTCTCTCGATGCCGTTTCCACCACAAACTTGCTACTGAAGATGTTACACAATTTGGCACCGTAACCGTTACGACCGCCCGTTACCTTCTCCTCCTCATCATTGTAGTTGGACGATGTGAGCAAATGACCGAAAATCATGGTGGGCACAAACATTTTTTCGTCTTTGTGCATCACAACTGGAATACCTTTGCCGTTGTTCCACACCGAAATCGTGTTTGTCTCGGCATTGATGTCAATCCGAATACAGGACATCTTCTTGTCACGTTGCTTGTTATCGGCGGCATTGACCAAAATTTCATCAAAAATCTTGTATAAACCGGGAACGTATTGGATTTCTCGTTGAACCATTTTGCCTTTTTTTGTAGTGGTGCCATCTTCAGCTGTGGTCGTTTCCTGTTGGTAAATCCACATGATCTCCTTCAGTGGTTCCACTGAACCGATGTATGTGTCCGGCCGAAGCAGAACATGCTCCAGCTGAGACTTTTTCTGGTAAATCTTCTCGATGTTACCGCCATTTCTTTGCTGTAATGACAAAAACGGGAAAATGGACATGGAAAAATGATTAATTTTATCTTTTTAAAATGTTCTTTACTGTCGCTTGAAAATCTTCTGGAATTTTCTCTCTTGAAAAATTCTTCTTTAATATTTTTCTCTAGAAAATTGATGACAATTCTCTTAATTTAATAGACAAACGACAAAAACACTGTTACAACGAGTTAAAAACCATATTGTTTTCATATTTATCAAGATATTTCAACACAAATGAACATACAATAGAACGATTGGACGATATTCACATCGCAAAATGTTGCAAAGTCGACAAAAACCACACAAAGCACATGTTGAGTTTGACAATGGACTTGCATTCATACCGTCTGTGCAGATAAATATCGCACGGAACCGAGCAAATAACGGAAATTGAACCGGAATTTTAGCAAATCCATCAAGAATTTTGTGCAAAAACATTGAAAATTTCCTTGTTTCAAACAAACAAAACACGAATGTACAATAAATGCAACAATGAGAACAGTATGGCACGTTGTTTCCAGCCAACGAAAATCCACTGAAACAATCGAGAGAAAACGCAACAAAAGTGTTGCATCTAACGTTTTCTCCGCCATTTTTCTCGATTTGAATACTGTCATTCATAAAACGCACAAACACACACGCGCGCGTAATTGTAAACCCAACCGACCATCAAACGGCATAACTGATGCTATGCGCTGGATTCAGCGAATTATCGGTCAGCACAAATGCAGAATATGAATGCCGGGGCAATGGTTTAAAACAGAAGTCTATTTTTCAAGAAAAATGCAAACGACGCAGAAAAAAGTAGCATGGGCTACTTTGTTTCTAACAACAACAACAAAAAACACACGGCATCACATCGAGTGTATAGCACAAACTGAATCGTGCACATTCATTGGCTTGTGTACGCTGTGTGTCGTTATACACACATACTTGTCTGTGGTCATAAACAACTTTTAGCAGGAAGAAAAATGAATTTGATTTGAACCAACGAAGGATATTCGGCGCGAATCTATCTAAATATCTTGAATGGCACTCTTTACTCGCTTTAAAACTTAACCAATCCTATCTTATCGAAATCACTTCACAAACTCTATATCGTTGTAGTTGAATTTTTTTCTCATTTACTTACCTCGGACATTTTGATGCCGAACTTTTTTTCTCCCTTTGTCGTTGAATAAAAAAACTAATTTTTGTTTCGAATGCGAATTGAATTGATCGCCTGGACCAAAATCCAATCACACGTACCGTCAATGTTCACAATCAATCAAGATAGAAGAAAAATGATTCACTTTTGTCGCGTTCAATTTTCAGCTTCAAGCTCACTTTGTGTCTTTCCGATGCACGAAGAAAAAAAAATGTTGTTGGCTGGTCACGAAAATTGTCTTGGTCAAATAAACACACAATAAACGGGAATTCAACAAAAAAATCAATGCAATCGATCGTATTTGTAAAAGATTGAACGCAGCGAGAGCACTAACGACAAAAATTGCAATAGAATCAACTTTTTTTGCCATGTACTTCTCGTGCGTGTGGTTGATTCTCTCTGTTAGTCGTCACTTGTAGTTCATTTGCCAACTGAAATGCGAATGCTTCAGTGCCGCCATAGAAAATCGGTCGCTGGTTGTTAGTGTTGTACGAACACCGAGACAGAGAGAAATACGCGGTTTTGTCGGCTGAACGCAGCAATGGATGCGTCTAATGATGCAGTCATTTGAAACTGTAGTGTTTGAATTGTCAGTGACGGTTTAAATAGCAACAGAAAAATGATTTTTTGCAACACGTTCGCGTGACATTTTTCGAAAAAAAATATTTTTGATGAGTTTTTCCTTAGTTTTTCCTTAATTTTTCCTGAAAGAGAAAACCATTTTTCTAAAAAAAAAACACTCATTTTCCCATTGATATTTCAATAACTTGTATCTAACACCGTTTCAGCAATATTCAGCACATTGACAGCTCGTTGGTTGGTTGAACGCACGATATAAGCTATGCATCTCTCTGCCGTCTGTCAGTTTGTCTCTTTCGCAAATTGCAATTTTGTGTTTGCTCGGGTTTATCAAGTTCGACACGGGCAACGAAAAAACACGTAAATCACAGGAGCTCTCATTCTCTAGTTGTCAACACAAAGAAGAAGGAGGCATCATTCTTTGTGTGTAGTCGCGATTTGTTTTCAACACAAATCGAACACCAAAAAAATAACACACACAACACGCACGACGACGACGACGACGACGACGAAGAGAAGGAACAAAACGAGAAATTACATTTCTATATTTTTTTTTGTTCGCAAAATTTTATAATAATCTGTAATAAATCACAGCGCTATGTTGTTCAATTGACTTGAATTGTTATTTGTTTAGTGAAAGTTAGTTGTGTACATCGGCGATTACGAGCTTTGTGTGACAATTTTTGCGAAAAAATTTTATCGAGAAAAAGAGATTTTTGTTGCAAAATCAAAACGACTAATAATCCGTACCATCTACATTCCCTGACACTTGTTTCTTCTGCGTTGAAGACGAACGAGAAAGAGAGTAGAAAACTACCGTAAATTCATAACTTGAAGAAGAAGAGAAACACGAAAAAGACGAAACTATCCCGAAAATGGACCGAAATAACATGAGGTAATTTATTTATGTTGTTCATTTCCCGTTTCGCATCGCATGACACACAGAGACGCAACGCTTTGCGATTATCGTTTTTTGCAAAAGTCAATTGTTGGCATCGCCTACTGTGTGCTGCTGTTGCGATATTATGTGTGTGTATGTGTGTAAGGCTTTGGGCATGTTTTTAGCGTGAACTCTGTTTAATAATAAACAGACAATTTTGTTTTGGTTTTATCAGTGAAAGCGACCCAATTCTCGCGGTCGTAGACAATAACCTCCGTAATTCCGGGAATTTGCCAAATGACTAACACTTATTTGAGCGAGAAATGATTTATAATGCATTTATGTGGCCTTTTGTTTCAGAAATCAAAATCCGTTGCAAAGTGGACTGCCAAAACGACCAGCAATGCCTTATCTGGCCCAACATGACGAATTGATCAGATACATTCACGATGCATGGCACAAGGTAAATTCAATTGTTCGTACATGTCCCGTCATTCTTGTCAAGTAATAGTCATTTCAAATCGATTTATGACTAATTTTTTGTGTGTCATTTTATCCATGACGTGTTTAGATAACAGAACAAGGCCAACATGGCACTCCAACATTCTACCGGAATCCACCTGAACAACGATTGACTAATTTCCAACCGTTCGATTTGGAAAAGTGGTGGTAAGTGTTATGTCACGTTAAACTCATTAAAACATTGAAGAATTGAACATAAATTCAGTTGATTTAATGGCCACATGTGTTTTTTTTTCTTCTCTATTTCAGGGGCCACAGAGCTGTTCAGAACTATCACACTTTATCTCGAGGACATCAATAAGAACAGAACATCACACACACACACACACATTCTTTCAAATACTGCATCAATAGAAAGCTCGTTTCTATTTGCCAATCACATATATTTTGCATACGATTCCCGTTCAAGAAAATAATAATTCATTTTTTTTGTCGTCGTAACGTTTCGTTCATTTGTACAAAACGCCACACACAATAAATACATTGATTTTTGCTACAATTGAAACAAAACAACAAGAGAGAAAAAAAATACCGAACGCGCGCGAAGTTTCCGCAAAAAAAACACATTGTAAAGTATTTGACGATAGTTTGTCATAAGATAAAAAACACACACAATTATATTTCATTTCCATATTTATTTTGATTGTTCGTCCACAACTCAATATTAACAATATATACTGCGATGACTTGGTTTTTGAGCTAGACTAAAGTTTGAGCGTCAAGTTTCTATTTAACCGAGTGGACAAAAAAAGAACACACAGAGACTCCACTCATTAAAACAAACAACAACAACAAAAACCGAACATATTTTAGACACTTACTTTTTGGCGATTTATTTTTCTATATTCAAAGTAATTCTATGATGAATCTATTTTAGTAAAAACAAAATGCAACATGCAAATCAACATCCGTAAACGAAATAGATAACTGTGTTATGTGAAAGTTATTTAATGAAAGAAAGAAGAAAAACACGAAAATAATTACGATGAAGATGAGAAAAAAGAAGAAAATGAATCGACGTAAATGCGTGAGAAAAAAATAAGTAATAAAAAAAAGTCCCTTTATTTAAAAGAAATTTAGCATTTTCATTCATATCAAAGGCGATTCAATTTTTAATTGACTAATATTGAGAATGCACACATATCATAGATGATGCCGTCCTCCCTTTGCGTTCATTGAACGCACTTCACTAACGCTGAACTGTCATAAATTGCCGATGTACATTCTGGCGCGATTCCCACACTCAATGCTGACTTGCTGAATTCGAATAGATTTTTGTTTTGTTTCTAACCACAAAAAATGCCAATTTCGCATATAGAACGGTCTTATGTCAAATTTTGCAACAAACATACCGACACATTTCGTTGCGTACTCATACTACTATCACAAATTCGACGCAAATCGCAAATTTTATCCCTTAGTTCGTAGTAAATATCGGTAAATTTCATTGAATTAAGTAATTATTGAATCCAAAACAATTCGACATACATACAATGGCTGGTTTCAATTTCGGTGGTTTGGAACAAGCGTTGGCTGATACACGAGGTAGCGGTGTCAGCTTTGAATCACAAGCCAAAAAATGGGAAAGCGAAGAAGAAGGTTTGTTTTCAGAAATGAATTAAATTTGAAGTCATTTCCAACACTGTTTCATTAACATTTGTTTCTCCGTAATACAGCAAAAGATCTCATCGAAGCGATAAATAATTGTAAAGTATTGAGTTATTTGAATCTGGAAGGAAATACATTGGGTGTAAATGCGGCAAAGGGAATTGGCGAAGCGCTGAAAAAACATCCCGAATTCCAGAAGGCATTGTTTAAGGATCTGTTCACCGGACGAATGAAAACTGAAATTCCACCAGCCTTGCAGTCAATGGGCAGGGGAATGATCGCAGCCGGTGCTAATCTAACGGTTTTCGATTGCAGTGACAATGCGCTCGGACCTAACGGAATGACTGGATTGGTTGAACTCTTCAGAAGTGCAGCGTGTTATTCACTTCAGGTGCGTGTTCAATTCAATTCTACTGATTGAACATTCAAAATTGAATGACATATTTTCAAAGGAACAAAATACGAGAAACCTTTTTTAAAGTCGAAATAAACACGTGTCCAATTAACGCTAAATTTATGCTCAACAGGAGTTAAAACTAAATAACTGTGGCCTTGGTATTACTGGTGGGAAAATGTTATCGCAAGCGCTCTTGGATAACTACGAAGCTAGCGTCAAGGCCGGTACACCGTTACAGTTAAAAGTTTTTATTGCTGGTCGTAATCGTCTTGAAAATGAAGGTGCCAAAGCTCTGGCCCAGGTGTTTGCCAAAGTTCAAACACTGGAGATGGTTTGGATGCCACAGAATGGTATCTATCATCCGGGTATCTCTGCATTGTCGGACGCATTCAAACTCAATCCAAACATGAAATCTCTGAACTTAAACGATAACACAATTACATCAAGAGGCGCTGAACATTTGAAAGATGCGTTGATTTGTATGCAAAAGTAAGAAAATTAAATATTGTTATACTGTAGTTAAAAGACTAGGAATAATATGAGCAACAGTTCAAAGTGTCTAATGTTCTTGATTGACAAAAAAATAATCATTCGTTCTGCTATTTTACAGTTTGGAAGAAATCAACTTTGGAGACTGTTTGTTGAAAACGAAAGGTGCTGTAATTTTGGGTGAATCGCTGCAAGACGAGCATTTGGCTTTGGAATCACTGATTTTGGACCACAATGAAATTGGCGCCAATGGTGGATATGCCATCGCAGCAGCCATGCACAACAAGGAACAACTACAAACACTCAACCTAAACGGCAATCAAGTAAGATCAATCACACTGATTTGCATGTTCAATATAGCAATATAAATCTATTTTTTACCAGGATAAATTAAACTCTATTATTTGATGACTTTTATGAATATAATTATTTTAAAATGACTTCAGCATGCAACTCTTTTCATCTCAAATTTTAACTTGTGTGTTTATAGTTCGGCTGTGAAGCCCGTGAAGGAATCCGAGAAATGTTAGAAGAAACGCAACGGTTGAACGCTCTTGAGGAAATGGACGAAGACGATTCCGATGGTGAAAGTGAAGTGAGTAAAAGGACCTATTTTCATTATGACGATAACCAATGACGACTAATGATGGTCATTTGTCGACAATCGTTTTCATCTTTTCCGTTTTCGTTTTTTTTTTCTAATTTAGGATGAGGATGAAGAAGATGAAGATGCTTCCGGAGATGATGAAGAAGAATCAGACGCTGACACTTGTGCGGCTGATGATGACGACGATGAATACTTGAATAACGTAAGATGCTTGGAATTTTTGCACTTTCAAAAAAGAATAGTCTAATGGAAAATTTTATGTCAGAGAGTTGAAACTTTACATTCAATTTTTCGATTGAATACTCTATTGTAACATTGGTGATTGAACCATTTAATTTTATCTCAACAGACGGTGGAGAGTGCCAATCAATCGATAAACTGGACATTGAATTCGACGGCGGAATTGAATGACAGTAGCGTACTATTCACGGGCACCAGTGAACAGCCAAACACAGTTGAAACGTTCTGCAACACTCCACACCCCACATCAAACCAATTCGATGCACTGATTGAAACAGACAAATTACAGGCGTTCCGAGATTATTTGAAGGTTTGTTCACCAAATCGAAATCACTCAATTAAATCGAAATTTCACGAGAAATGTTCGATTTATTTCGTTTGTAATGTTAATTTTGGTTGGGTTGCAGAGCAATTCCTCACCTTCTAATAATTAAATTTCAATTGTAATTACAGAGAATACCAGAGAAAGATTACCTTGTCCATTTAGTATTTGCCATCGTCAAGCTGTCGGCAGCTTCGTTGAAAAATCAAGAGGCATTGCGTGTGGCCACCGAATTATACAGAGATTGTTTTGAATACGCGCAAAAAACGAACCAGGTAAATATCGTCATAAATCTATACGATGAATAGTCGGTTAATAGTTCAATTATAAATGATTTCACTTAAAACCAGTTTACCTTTTGCAAATTGATTATCTTTTTCCGGTTGATTTAATTTGTTGCTAATTCTCCGCATTCTATTACGTCAGGTGGCTCGAGTGAACAACTTTTTCCTGATTCAATTGGGTTTGCTAAAGAATGAAGATAAAACGTTTAAGCCAGCCTATGACCAGAACGCTTGTCGGACCGCATTGCAGCACGCAATCAAGTCGAAAGTGTTCAGCGATGACGTGGAACAAATGTTCAACCTCTTTTTAACCCGTTTCAACTGAAAAACCAATCGCACACTCACACACATTATTTATAAAATTGTATTCCATGAAATTTTTCCACATGAATAAACACGAAAACCAATTTGTCAGTTAATTTTAATAAAAATTTGTTTTTATTATTCTTCAATTTTGACTATGTAGTTACAGTAATTCTATTAAGGTAAAAACCCTGATAATTGACTGGTTTGGTCAATTAAATGACTTCTTTCGTTTGGTTTTAGCTGGAAGTGATGATGGATTGAATTGTGAATTTATTCAGCATCGTCTTCAATACTTTTATCTACTCCCCAGAATGGACCGCTGAACATGTTCTTCATGAAATCTTCCATCCGTTTGAACATCACTGAAATGTCTGGGAATTGGAAATTCGTTGCTTCATCAATTGATTCAGTCTGTGTTTTCTCAGAGAGAAGCGTGCCTAACGTGGAAATGAATGGAAAATTCATTAGAATTGAGAACAGAAAATCATTAGAATCGATTCATTTTAAAAGCAATAAATAGTAATTGAAACTTGGTATTAAAAAAACAAATTAACCTTTTCTAATTACAAAGGTGATTAAATTTGAAGAAGAAAATTGCAAAACCAAAAATGAAAACAATAGAATAATTCAAGAAATTACCATTTTTATCTGTGCATTTGTAATTCACTTCCAACGTCTTGCCATTTTCAGAGAATTTCGAACCGTAGGTGCATTTCTGTGTGCCTGGTGGGCATGTAATCTTTCGACAATGGACTATATTATAAAACGAAGCAAAAAAAAAATAAATTAAAAACACATTCCAGAATCATCATTGCTGATTCCCACCCAGTGATATTTGAAAGAAAAATATTTGAATCTAAAAATTTAGGATTTTTCCACGAATTCCTATTCGCAATTTGGAGAGAAAAAATTGCGCACGATTTTTAATCACAGTACAAGAAAAATGTTCACGATCATCGATTCATGAATTTGTAATAAATGCAACCGATGAATTTTAGAATTCGTTACACACTTTTTCTGTTGTTGCATTCAACAAACACTTACAATCGCCTTTGTAACCCACACGCTCGATGACTCCTTGGATTTGGCCATTAACTGATGATACAGCGATATTGGTATTTCCATCGAATTCAGCTTCTGGGTCTCTTTCAGATTCTACACCACTTTCCGAGCTGCCAACTTGTTCCGTATCACGATCTATGGAGCCATTCACTTCATTTTCATTTGGATGTTTGGCTGGAGTTTCTCCGGCAAAATCTTCAAGTTTTTCCGATTGTTTTTCGGCTGGCAATGATAAGGCTGGTGCAAGCAATAGGCACAATGCCATCGAAACAAAAATCAAACGATTCATTTTTAACTTCGTAATTAGACTAATTCAAAAAAAAAAAAATTAACTTCGATTGTTTTTTTCCCTTCGATTGATTCACTTCAATAACTTGTTCTGATTTAACACTAGCAGTGGATCTGTTCTGTTAAGACGCAATATTCATACTGATTGTTCGGAGCGTTGGGTTCGTGCTTATATAGTCGGTTCACGTTCATTGTTCTCCCGTAATTGTTTTGAACACATTTATCTATTGTGTTGGTCGAGAACAAGTAATGAGTCATTTGGCTGTGTGTTACATCAGTTGTTTGTTAAAATTACATTTATTTCTTTATTATTATTGACACACGATCTTTCGCAGCCGGTGCTGATGTTCATGTTAACGATCTGCTGAATCAGTTCACAAAACGTACATACATACTAAATTTATCTTTAAAAAAAACACTATTTCTATAGACCACAAAGGTTGCGTCGCCTGTATTTCTAGAATAAACTTCGAAACGCAATAAAACTTTTATATCTTCATCTTGAATCGCGCACCACTTAACATGCTCTTATCGCCATGATCCCTTTGCTAATTTTACGCTTTTTGATGTTCATCGACGAGTATTTTTCCAATCAATTTGTTTTTGTTTTGGGTATGTTTGAATTAGCAATTGACTTTCTTTGGAAATTTCGGGTACATTTCAACCGTGTTGATTATTCTCGAAAACTACCACATAAATAAACAGTGACTCAGACGTCATGGATATTGTCAACATTTCGTTACGGCACATTAAGAACGATAACAATCAACGGGCCAACTGTTTTCCATCCATTTCAAATGCATAGTACAGCGAAAGTAAACAACACAACGAATGCAAATAAAAGGCTGACTCGCATGTCGATTAATTGAAATTGCGATGAATAATCAATTGAATTAGTGTTTATTTCAGCGAAAGGCATCTTTTTTCGACGCTAGTTCAAATATTTGATTTCTAATATTCCAGTAACTCTTTTTGGGCAATATCAATTTTTATCCGGCTGTATTATGCCATTTTGTCTATTTCACAGAAAATTTAGACTTATTGACGCAGTTTTCCATAAGAGAAATTGTGTTACACAATCTTTTTCCATTACAACCATTTTCAACGATTGAAGGAAAATCCCAAAAAATTATATCCGATGTTTACCCATTCATTCTATTGCGAATATTCTTCTATTGACTTATAAGGATGCTCAATTGCTCATTATCGATTCAGTCGAGACTTGCACAATTTATTCTCTAGAAATTAGTAATTTCAAATTACGACCATTCAATCGACCGGTGTTCCAATTGTAAATACACGTTCTATTCCCAAGTAGACACATAACAAAATACCTATAGGTATTATACGTATAGTTGTGTTAACGATGCGTTCAAGTTCATTACCAATCACACGGCTGCTTCTTTGATTGACGGATTCACAGCGTGAAATCAATGCGCAAAAATGTATGGAAAAAAAGTTGATGAATTCAAATTTAAAGATATAAATACATTGATAATGATACATTCGACCGGACAACACGCTGTACTGATTTCAGTTTGTGATAAACGACGATGCAAAGTCATGGAATACTTCGTCGAGTCGAAATATGATTGACTGTAATTAGCAAGCAATCTGTCGATTTTTGTCACGTTGTATTCGATGTATCGTTCTATCGTCGAAAATTTCTTACGATGATTACATGAAATGTTTCTTTTTCTTATTTAAATTCAAATAATTACTATGCTCAATGAATTATAGGCTTCGATAAATATTAAGTGAGTTTGCCGCAAACGTAAAATCCGCTAAAATCAAGTACAACAACGGCTGACAACCAGTTAACATCCATTCATTTACGAGATATGGTACTCACCCATTTAAACATTTTTCTTTCCTCTCAACAATAAATTAAATTCAATGCTTTTGTTTTTGCTTCTTTCTCCATTATTTCGCTTCTATTCATTTATTTTGTCAGTCAAAAGCATGCAATCTATTCATAGGGCTTAGAAAATACACAATTTTTTTTTCATTATAAATATTTTTCTCTCACAATTTAAACAATCATTGAATGTCAACTTGAATAATAATCGGTCAACTTGTTTGTAAAATTCTAAATAACAAAAATTAGTCTTTAAATGACACAATAGAAATAGCGGGCTTTGCCCTTTGCAAACAAAATTGAAATTAAAACAAAAACAAGATCGAAATTAGAATAGAAACAAGAAAAAAGGGTCGAGCTCTTTAAAAATAAATCAACGAAATCTGTGTCTGGTCTTTAAACAATGTCACTTCGATGAATTGAGTAGGATAAACAGGCACTTTGATTTAGTTGCTTGATCGTACAAAATGCCACGAGTCACCCGATTGAATTGTTCCTCCATTTGATACGATTGTTCCACCACTGTTGAGTGCGATGTTTTCGATTCTTCATCGTCCGTTTCTGTGTATGGTACGATGATTTCCTGTAGGATCCGTTCATAATTGGCATTGGTGCATTGATCTTCAGCTTCTATTCCATTGTCGTAAAAAATACTGTTCTGATCGATGATTTTACTCTCTTCGGCAATGGCGTAATTGCTCAGAAAATTCGTTGGGCATGTGCCTTCTACGCTGGTAGCCACTGCTGCGTTCTTTTTCTTTTTCCGTGATATTGTGAAGTTCATCGGGTTTCTTCCTTCGGTTTGAAGCATTTTTGGTAACATTCGTCGCCTTGAGTTGATGAACCAGTTACTGATTTTTTGCACACTGAGCCCCGTTTCCATGGCCAATGCTTGTTTTTCGGCTTTTGTTGGGTAACAATACAATCGATGCTCGTACATCCACTTTTCCAAAATTGACTTTGCCTTCGCCGGAATGTACACCTTCGTCTCGGCCTCCTCACGACGTGACACTTTTACCGTTTCAACTTCTCTTGATGACGTATCTTCCGACTGTGAGAAATTGATGAGAAAATCCTCACGCGCTTTTTGCTCGAGTATTTTGATTTGCAACTCCACCTCCTCATCAAAGTTACGTTTCGTGTACTTTCTCTTTGGCGTAACGGACATTTTTGATTGAGGAACGCTGATTCGATTGATTCACGATTGTAAAGTTGATGAACTTTGAATAACTTTACTGTAGCAATAAAGTTGATTGACTTAAAGTGATTGATTCCAATCCGACTGATAAAAATCCTTATTTGTTCCAGCAAGTTGTCACGGTTTGATTTGCAACGGTCGTTCAGAACAACAGCGGACAATTTTTCAACAGCCGTACATCAGCACCAAATGACTAGAAAGCAATGAACATAAGATTGAAGTACGAATATACATTACCCGATAAATTTAACGGACAAAATCACGAAGGCCAACTAGTTTTTAGACCAAAACAATACATTACCAGTCAATTGTCAGGTATAGAAGCAAACGGTATACTTTGTTTGACACATATCGACATGTATGTCGAAGCCGAAACATGTGAACGGAAATTCAACGGTAGATTCGATTGAGTGATGGATATTAAGAAAAAAATCTGTTCAAAGAGAAATTTTTCTTCTCACAGCAGCTCATTTAAACAAATGAGACCTTGTATTCAAGTAAAGCAAGAGTATCATGAAGAATTCAAAAAATCCTACAATAAAGACAAATATGCGAAGTGGTTCTTACTAACAAAACCACAACTTCATTGACCTCTCCATCGAAACAGTCAACACAAAAACACAACACAAATCGTTTTTTTTTTTTTTCATATTCAATAAATTTTAATTATTTATTTTTCTCCGTTTTTTTTTATAAATTCATGTGTGTTTGAATTTACTGGATGTGTTGAAAAAAATATATGGTTTAAACCATACGTCTAAGCAAAACGTTGATTTGGTTTTCTCGGTTACCGAAGTCACCGCCTTCGACGAAATGGTTGTTCTTCTTACGCCATCCACCGGTTGGTGTGTTCAATTTGAACGGCCACAAGAAGTTTGAGGCGTATTTGAAGTTTGGACCGACGGTGAAGACTTCGTGCACTAAATCTTCGACGCATTGGATGTCAGCCCGGCGCTTCAATTTACGTTCGATGGTGAAGTTGTCAGTGATTGGCACACGTTGTCCCTTGTGCTGTAAAATGAGAAAGTCAAAAACAAAACAGTTAGAATTATTGCAATAAATGTGTTGACAAAAGATTTGAATTGAAAACGATTCCCGTTAGAAATGGTTCATGTGGTAAAAACCTTCGGAATTGCGAATGAAAAAAAAACGTGGCTTCAAAAATAGGTGCATCCACTATGCAAATCGGTTTATCAAAAATTCAAAAGTGTTTTATTTTATTTACCTTGACATAACCACGTTTGTAGATGAGTTCGCGAACTGATTTCAAGTTCGGGTAACCCCATGTAATGTATGGCTCAGCAATACGCAACATGTTGATGGTGGCTTTGTTCAATTTGATGAAAACACCATTGTTGATTTGACGCAAACGGAACAATTGCAAAACCTTGCGCACTTTTGGTGCAACTTTGTTGATACTGTAACACAGAGAGAAGAAAACGAATTCCGATTAACATACGGTTCAATCGAAGCATAGATGAGAATGGAAATGTGCATGTGTGATTTGTTGTTGCGTGTTGATACAAAATATAACCTCACTTTTTGCAATTACCCATCGTTTATCAAGTTAATCATAAAAATCCACCGAAAACACATGTTTCACATAATTAAAACGGATTTCTCATTAATTTGCATCAATTCAAACGCAAAACCGCGCACACATGCACAACATAAACTCTTTGAGACACATTTTTTTTGTTCATCATTTTTTTTTGTGTCCGATGCTTAACTTACCCACGAATACGGATAACAAATGCCAAACGTGATTCGCCTGGAATGTAGTAGTTTCCAGCACGTTTAGCCTCACGTTTCTTCTCGATTTCACGACGATCGGCTACGGCATATTGTTTCGAGTATTTCTCGGCACGCAAGAAATTTTCGCGGAGTCGCTTTTGGATTGTGAGAGTTTTGGTGACACGCCGTTTAGCCAAGACAGCTCGTGCACGAGCAGCCTTTTTAGCGATCTTAAGTCGCGATTCCGGAACGGCTGGAAGAGTTTTTGACTCAACCTTCTTTTTATCCACGGCAGTCATTCTAAAAAAAGCGAAAAAACCAATTAAAATAATTCATCAACGCAATTTTTCCGGAAATTTTGCACAACAATCAACTCACATAGGTCCGACGTATAGCACGTTGTAGGTAGAAAAGAACCCTGATAGGAAATGACGCCATATTGTTAATTTTTTTTCGGCTGACAATCGAAACACACGATGACAGATACGTAACACTGTCAAATGTTTCGTATTGTAAATGAGTTTCACTTCTGATTTCAAACTCAGCAAACAAAAAATGCAAGTTTGAAAATAATTTCAATTGAATTTAAAGGGGAACCAATTTTTTTTGAATGAAAATTGATTTTTTGATTCATAGACATTTTTTAAATCATTGTTTAACTCGTTTCATCCATTTTTGTGTAAGTTGGATATATTTCAGTTCAAAACTGACATCAATTCAAATACCAATAATACAAAACGATAGAAAAATACATGATTTAGATTTTGTTTTTTCATTCTACTGTTTATTTTCAGCTCTTGTAACATGATTTTTTTTTTTAATAAAATTTGAAATAATAAAAAAAATTGTAAGTCAATTTATTTCGAAGAAAAATTCACTCCAATCGAACGTCTCATATCTGTTCATCATCAATTACACAACCCTCCGTTTGCCTGCTGCATTTTCGTAATTACGTAAATCGCATACGTACTGTTATACGATTAATGGTTGGCAATAGCCAACTGAACTGTTCGAAAACGTATTGAATCGAAGCGCTAGTGTGGAAAACGAATCGTAAAAGCTGTCTCATTATTCCAAATGCAGTCGACTAAAGCAAGCGTATTAAAGTTATTTCTCGGTATTTTTTGGAAAATAAAGATGGATTAGTGTGTGCTTCGTGCATTTCGCGCCCTCAGGGGTCTTTTTACAAAATAATGAAAACGATACTAATGTAAGTACAATTCGCGATTATTTCAATATTCTACAAAAAAAATTATTTTTTCTTTTGGATATGAACGAACGACGAGAGAAAAAGAATGTACATTTACACATTCCACTGTTGTACGGATTGAACCATATGTATTGGTTTTTTGAGTGAAACAAAGTGTATAATCGACTATGGAAATCTCTGAAAGTGCCGTAGTGGGGTCATTAAAAATACTGATAGTCAGGAGTTGTGTCGAATTTCACAATATTTTGAAATACGATTGAGCAATGAGTGATGTGTATGTGTTTTTTTCTTCTTCTTCGGTTGAATGTCAAATTATGGTAAAAAGCACAGATCAGTGGTATACGCGTATACACCATCACGCACAAGAGTTATTTGGCTGATGTAACATTTGTGAAAATTGCTCAATCAATGCATTTTTCGGATAGTTTTACCAAAATCCCAGTTTAATTCGGCGAATTTTACGCCATAAATTCTAGGAAATATGCCCACAGCGATAATTGGTTGCTTATTTACATTGCATAGCAATAAAATTGATTACATTTGATTCGACGCCACTGATTAGCGCTGGTATGAGTGAGATAGACATACATAAGCGTCGGATATTAAAAAACAACATCGTTGAATGTTCGCGTTCATTCGTTTCTGCGTTTCAACGACAAAAATCACACCGAAAACAGATTGTTTTTACAACTTTAATATGTGTGTGACTCTCGGCGATTGCGAAGCGTGCTATATATAAACCAACAGGCAGCTATTCGACCGCTAAACTTCTGTTTCTACGAAATTGCTTGCGTTGAGTCTTTTTTTTTCATGTCGATTTACTTGTTCCCTTTCAATTTTTTCGTGGCCCACGTATGAAGCATACTCGATTATTTTTTTACTGTATAATTTGGAATATTTCGAATCGTTAGCATTTGCTGCGTTTACGTAAATGAAACTTCATTTGTCTGGCAGTAACACGAAAAAAAAACTTAACAATGAAATTTGAAGCGATTTTTCGATGTTTGGTTAGCATCGTCAAAACAGCTTTCGATTAAATGAATTGAAATATTGTCGCACGTTTCTGGTGCACGACCGAATCACATGCCGAATATTTGCCATTGAAAAGATGTCAATATTTTTTTTTCCTATTTGGATAGCACTGTTTTTCTCCATTTGCCATAATTTATTCTTGGCTTTGTTTGGACAGCTATTTCGCTATTCGCAGGTGTGATTCTGTTGCGATAGAGCGACTGATGTAAATGATACCTTTTGAAGAAGGAAAAAAATAAAACTGGTTTGCGTAACTGCACTGCAAAAAAAACATGCCAATTTGAAACGGGTTCGTCTCATGTGACACAGACCAAAAGACTCGATAAATTTCGAAAGTATCTGTCAGTTCTTTGAATAGATTCAGCTCTGCGTACATTTTATTAATAGTCGCCTAGCTATTATAGCACTAAATCACTGAATTGAATCTGTATAAATTATAACAAATGTTCAAACTTTCAAGCACAGCGCGCTTAAGGTTGCTCATTCATCATAATACTAGACGATTGAGTGAAAGTGTGTCATACAACCATGTATGCGAGCAAATGCGCCATGTTAATATTATCTGATCTATTGGCTGAGTTCGCGAGATTTATTTCATATTTTGTAATGGAAAACCGTTATCATTTGTTTACATTGGCTACTTTTTGCGCAGCCAATGTCTAGGCTACGATTTATATTCATAATTTGGGTTTATTCCACGATGAAAATGACTAATAAAAAAAACAGGTCTTAGGCTCAGGTCGAAGTTCACGCGCTGAAAATTGACACCAGAATGATTCGAAGTAAGAAGTATAGTCGATCGCATTGCGTCGAATTTCGTGTGCGAGAATGTGTGTTATTCATGCTGGCGCCAGTGAGTGCAGTCCAAAGTTTGTGTTTATTTATGTAAGCTGCTGCGTTCTAGACATAACACACATGGGCCAAGAGGTCATTTAACGGATCTCACGCGAAAGATATGATTGATAATTCAACGCGTGACCCGAAGCTATCTTTTTGGCATGTTTCACGATTCAAGCGTCTTGCAATTCGAATGAACCGTACAAGACTCAGTAGAAAGAGAATAATTGAAGCAAATTAAAATACGTATTTTGATACGATTTCATGTTTACAACTTCGTTATTAAAACGTGATTGAGCTTTTAATTAACAGCTTAAAATTATTAACGTGTGACATTCAAATGGAACCACAAGCAACGAAAATGATTGCAATGGCAAAATATTCTGATGATATGGAGTTATTTTTTTCTCGTTTCGATCTAGAGCCATTATGGCGCCAACAACCATGGAGCGTGCTGTGTCAACAACACTTTTATCCACACAACATCAAGAAACATCTATAACATCAATATCAACATCAGATATATTATTCGATAACATCCAGTACGAAGAAACAGCAAACAATGGAAAGTCTGGAATTACCACACGATATCATATGGGACGGCGATCGGTCACCGATGACGCTGTCACCGGACCACTTTTCGGATGCTAGTGCCGAACAAATACTTATTTTTGAAGATAGCTTCGTAACCGGTAAAATCAAACGACGCCATTCTTATCGCCCTTACGCTGCTGCGGCTGTGGTGCTAATCAACATTCGCAACGCAACAATTTATGGTTTTAATGAATGTTTTTCTTCCACCCTATTTAAACAGAGCTTATACCAAACGATGATTTAATTAAACCGAGTCAAACCATCGAGTTCTCTGAGTTCTCTCCCGAAGAGTTTGAACAGTTGCTGGAAATACAACAAGATCTTCTGGACAATATGGTCGAGGAGGACCAATCAAATGGTAAGCATTCATTCAAATGTCATTTTTGTGGAACATTCTCGGAACAAATCCATTTTTGGCGAAAAAAAAATTGAGTAAAACTTTTACGGCGTCTCCATACTACTTCCACCATTTTGCCCATAGATGGCATCTCAACTGCTACTGAGACTTCAACCTCAATAATATTGAATGTATACATTGAATTTCTAATTCAATTGCTAACTCTTGAAATTCACAGGAAAAAAAAGTTGTTGCTTGTTTTGTTTGTTTTCAAACTGAATAAATTTAACATTAAATTTCGATTAGCATTTGGGTTCGATTTAATCTCATGGTATCAGTAAATGGAATCATTAAAAATTCAATTGGTGATGTTTAGAAAAATTAACAACATGATATTAAGTGCAAACTCCCGCTTTTAATCATCATTTGATAACACACAGCGAAATGCAATGGGTGTCCGGATTGATGCTATGCATCGCGTGTATTTTCAATTGTTTGTCCAATTTGGCGAGCACAATTAAATATTTGCGCACATTTTTCACCAGTTGCGTAAATGTTCACGAGTTTTAAATTTTCGATCGCACATATTTTTCGTTTTCTAAATTGATGCGTTGAGAGTTATATTTAGTGACCACACCAGACGCCACCAATTTAATTCAATTTAGTAGCATCTCGTGGTTCTCTCGGCACAAATCAATTTAAAATTGTCCATATTGAAAACGCCATTACCATTCATTGCTTTGCATATTTAACACATAAATGCATGAAATTCATTCTTCAACTATGAAACTCACACTTGATTCGAATCGTTCGCGCGGACTTGAATCAATCGTTCGATTCGATTAAATTAATCCTGATTGAAGGCGCGAACGAGCTCAATCAAAATGCAGACAACTCGATCAATTTTTGTCACATTTCCATTTATTATTTATTGATCAGAAATATTATTCGCGAAACATTCATGACAACTCATATTTAATGCATACGTTTCCGAAGCGACGTCAACCATTGAAACGATTTTTAATAACACAGTTCACGTCTGCCGAATGGAATAACTGGTTCGAAAAGGGACAAAAAAAGAATTTTTTCCATCGTAAAAATTATCGCTTGAAGAGGATAATGAATTCTCTAATGAATTCCCGATTCAAGTTTTAAAAATCTCGTGAGATGAATCGCAATTTGTTTTAATGGGAGAATTTATTTTAACAAATCCACTCGATGATTATGACTCGATCTTCGTTTTTCTCCAAGTACTTGCAAAGAGCACGTGTTTTTGCGATTTCTTTTTTTCCATTTTTTCTTCCTCTTTCTCTCTTCTTTTTATTTCGTTCTGCTTCTTTCAAATCGAGTCGAACGAGACTACAGACTAAGTATCGAATAAGTCTAAATCGAATGAAAAAAAACAATCGCCTAATAAAAACAAGGAATTTCCGCCAGTTGCTACATTCAAATAAATGATAAAGAAAGCGGCAATCTCAAGTAATCCATCCGATTGGCAACACTGACTCACTTCTGATCAACTGGTTTAACACAGTCGACAGCAACAAATCCATGACAGGAACAAAATCTAATCTCTTTTTCCTCTTCGAAATTTTATGCTTTTATTGAGTTATTATTTGCTTGATCGAATGAGATTAATCAGTGTCTTCGATAAAGATTTATGAGCTTCGATGTGAACAATTGCTTGTCAACGAGAATTTACTTAGCTGCTTGAGCATGTATGTACCATTTACATACAGAAGTGCGGCCAACACCGTGGCATGCAGTTAATGTATCAAAACAAAGTAAATTGTTGGACGTTTATGTAAATGTAAAAATAAATAAATCTAAAAACAGCATCGATTTGCTGTGCTTTTTTGTGTGTACGGTGTGAACTGCGCAGCGATTGTGCCGCCATTTGCCTGCTATTAGACATGCTCATTTGAATTAAGTGCAACACGCAAATCAAGACCTTGGATCAATTCATTTTGAATCGTTGCAATACTATTCCACAGAAATCAATTACGAGAAAGAGAGGGAAAACAGTGGGCTAAGAGGAGTGTTGAGATTGCGTAAAGCGCACAGCAAAACAAGAACAAATTTTTGTTCACATGGCAAATGAACATCTGGTAACTAAGTGGAAATCGGTTAATAGGTGGAAGTTTGAAACTTGATGTTTCATTTTGTGATTAGCATTTTATGAGCCGTCCATCTTTTTCAAGCGTAGTGAGAGAAAGTCAGAACTTGAATCGTTATGGAATAATCCACTGATAGGTTCGTTGTTGTTGTTGTTGTATTTTTTTTGTTGAACTCGGGTGTTGGCTTTTGATTGATAATAAAAACTGATGATCAGCTAAGCTGCAATTGAAAATGCAAATTTTTCCTATTTATGACTGATTCAGAAATAGTGAAATGTAGTCCTATATAAATGTGTAGTATATTATGGGATAAAATGCAACACATTTGCAGCAGCTGGCCGATCGCCTTGTCCGCAATTATCGAAAATAAATTGTTCATTCAACTGTACACGTAAAGTGCACGTAACATGTCAAAAGTCTAAACACAAACAGTGCGTTGAATCTCCCATAATGCCCGACGGATTCAATTAATGATCACGGAAAGTTCTCGATTTTCTATTCTTATCGAAAACTGTGTACAGTTTTTCCACGCTCTTTCTGTCCCATTTTATCAAATACACATCGGATTTGTGCATCAAATCAAATCTCACAATAAATTGAGACCACTTGAATAAGTCAGACAAATCAGATTTGGCCTTCGTACACAAGTCGAATAAAAATGCATATATTTTTGAATACATATAGCAAGCGTGCGCGCGCGTGCACTCTTCTTAGGTCATCGCATTGATAACACACAGTTCAAAAATATGAAGTTAAAGAAAAAAAAAACAATCAATGGAATGAGAGAGAGAAAAAAGTATCAGTAAATAATACCCCTCACCGAGCCTGTGTGTGTGTGCGCGCGTTGCGAATGGAAATCACTCTTGCGCTGCATGATCACACCAAAGTCTCATTTTATAAGAGAAAATATAAATTTCGTATCACCAAACCAGATCTCCAGAGAACGATGGTCAAAACAAACCAATAACACACGAATTTGCGTGCGGCATCACGCATCAGCAACATATACTGTGTCATTGTGTTTTTTTTTTCACTTCACTCTTTCTCTTTTGGTTTATAACAAATCTGTGCTCCAATTTCATGTTCACCCGTGTCGGCGGCCTTTTCGTGTCCAAATTTTGAGCCCATAATTTTGATAATATTGTTACTATTTCGTGGAAACTGGTTTATTCACACTTTTTGTACCTTTGTTTTACACGCGGACACATTGGCCTCGCTCAAGATGATGTTAATTCGGTATTTTCAAGTGGTCTACGTGCAACGCGGAGAAAAACAAAATACTTTACATTATTTTTTGCGTCAAGTGGCCCGGTGGTTTTATATCGTTCTAATCTAATTGATGTGATCGTGTTTTTCTTAAATTCGTTTTCAATTCGTTCTCGAAAAAAATATCGATTTCTTTCTTTTTCGTTTTTGTCATTTGATTTCGGTTGGGTCGATGAATCCCAAGGTTTACACTTTAAAACTGATCACAACTGAGATTAAACAAGTGTAACTTCAGTTCATCATATAAATAAATTTCAATATAATAATAATGCGTACGTGTTATCAACATGGTTCTGATTTCATTGCGTTATTGTTTCCTCGGTTTTTCTACTTCGATTCGTTTTCTCCGCACATTTTTTCCATTTTATCATTGTGCATTGGGGCACAACGTCCATAAGTGCATTTGAATCACCCGATTTTGCATTCAGATACTGACTTTTCGGGTTACTTCAGTTTCGATTGAATCGATCCGAAAAATCACCGACAAGGAAGACAAAATAAGAACACAATAATGACATTAAAGTTGACTCTAGCTGAGACTTTGATAGCATTATCATCGTTGTCGTCGTCGCATGAGACACAAAGCAATTTTTAATGGAACATCAGTCCACAATCATCACAGAACATGTCTATTTTCAAAGTGGTTTTGTCAAACAAAGGAATCAATGCGTTTCTGTTTTTGTCTTTTTGTTTTCAACATCGCATTGGACTTGTTTCTGTGCATGAGAGCGTCAACCACAATGATAAGATATTTCACATTCTGAAAGCAGATTGAATCGCACAATTTTGTTGTTGTTTTCTAAGAGATTCTCCGTTTTTCGACGCAATCTGGAAAAAAAACGTTTGATGTTTAGTGTCGAGTTTCGAAATTCACTTGCGAATTGGAATATGCACAAAATGAATTATGCAAATAGTAAACAAGACTATAAAATATGAATATTAATTATAAATTGATAAGCATTCTTATTCAAATGCGCGAATGCAAGGCGTTGCACGGATCATAACAAGTTTCAATTAAATCGGTATACGATCATGTGAACCGCACATAAGTGCACGCCCTTTATTCTCACTCACTCTGTCTTAATTACTGTTGGCGACTTGAGTGTGTGTCCTTCTTTTCTTACAAGATGGTTGTTTTCTATTTTCTTTCTTTCTTTCTTTCTTTCTTTCTTCTTTCAATCCATGTGTCCCCAATCTGTTCAATTCTAATCAATGATCAATCAAATAGGCAGAAATGTTTTTTTCCATCAAATTTTTGACCGAAATTAGTGTACGCAAGCAATCAGAACAACTGTCAATTGAAACTATTTAAAATGGAACGTGCTCCACTTAGCTTTAGTCCGACTGTACTTCAAATAATTTTTTGGACGGCGATTTACGTAGAAATACACGATTTCAATTGATCATACAACGAAAATTGCGTTTCATCTTCCACAAGCCTATTGAGATTTGGTTTTATTCGACTTGTATATCAGTGAATTTACGTAAAACCCAAACACCAACATCAACACGTTGATTTCGCTTTTAATTTATTCCTCAATGTATATTCATAAGGGCTGTGTATTGGTATTGGTCGATGGTGTACATCGATTTGGTCACGCACACAATCTCGTTCATTCGTTTGCTGTCTCTCGCTGGGTCCGATCGACAACGCAGCACCGATCGATCGTCACACACAGCGTTTAGTATATCACAGACCGTCTAACCGGTGAGATTAACTTTGCGTTCGTTCCGTTCGGAAAATCAAGCATTTTTTATGCTGCCCAATTAAAAAAAAATTATAAATATATTTGATTGTGTAGACAAGGCACGCGTGTGTATCGCCGACGGGTTAAAATTGTCAAGCAACTTTTGCGTTCGATTATCAACAAGTTTTTTTTTCCCTTGGCTATTGTTTTTAATATTTTATACGATTTTCGGTGTTTATTCGAAACGGGATTCACAGCGTGATTGCCAACCATTTTATTGCAACAGTGTCATTTTGTTCAGAAGATAAAAATAGACATTTTGATTGGACAAAGAAAATACAAAACTTTCCCGCACAACACAGACTAAATATCATCGAGTCAGTTTGATAAAGACTCGGCATCGAATACCGAAACAAAAATAACAATCAATTGGTGACTAGTTTGGAGCTTAGTTTCATCTGATATCCAAGAAAAAAGCGAGAACAGTGCATCAATTTCAACGGCGTCAACGACCAGCGTTCATCTTTTTATGATTATTTTATACCGATTTTAATTTTCAACAGCTCAACCGTGAGCATGATCGTCACAATTGGATACCGATACAGGTGGAACCGCGAAATTGTGATTGCCTCAGAAAAGCTTGTGAAAAGGGGGCTCAATTAGCAACGTCTACAGTTGTCGTTTTGAATGAACACATAACAAAAGAAAACACGAGAAGTAAATCAGAACAATTGCCGTTTTTTTTAACATCCACAATTCACGAAACTAGCAAAAAGCGAAATCAATAGCCTGAAAAATAAAAAAAATTAAAGCACTGAACTGAATTTCTCAAATCCTGAAATTTATGTGTTCTGTGAGCAAAAAAATACCCATTTTAAAAAGAAACACTTAACAAATTTAACTTCCTGAGAAAAAAAACGACGACAACGACCATCACATCCCATAACAACAACGACAACGATTAAAAAAACGTATACGCAACGACACATTTCCAGAAGTAATATCATCGATCGTTTATTGCTTGTGTAATCACAAATTTTCGCACGACCTGCACCAACCTTTGGCCACCTCCAGAAAACACCCAATTTCATTTTAAATACTAAAATTATTCAACTTTCCATTTGGAAACCTTAAAAATACGCGAGACGAAAACACGAAAAAATCGATATAAATAAAAAGATTTGAAAACAATCGTAAATAAACCTAAAGAGAAAATTAGTCTGTGATTGTTGTTTGCTGTGCAAAACGAGTTTTTTTATACGAAATTAAAGTGAAGACGAAAAATCGACGAAAACGAAAAGATAAAAAAAATTCCACCAGCAAACTTTTGCTGAGCACTCAAGTTACGTACGGACGAACCAATCAAACCGTGCGAGAGCAGTCAGTGACGAAACATCGCATAAGAAGACATTTAACATTCCCAAACAACAACATCTACACAAACACCATATTTGGACGCCGCAACAATTGACTGTCGTGCCGCGTGGTTCATCTATATAAGCATATATATTTCTAATCACATTTAAATATAAGGAAGAAGTCAGACAAATCATACAAGTCACAAATACGATCTCAACGAGATAGTGAGTGAAACAGGAGGGCGACACACAGATAAACCAAGAGGCCTTTTCGAATCTTATCTAAAAACAAACACCAAACACCAATTCTCGCATCCAAATGAGCTCATACATGCTATTCCAATATGGTTAGTAGTCGAGATTTGATAAACACGTTTAACATGCTTACATTTTGGGTCAAAAATTGGTCCAAAATATACACAAAAAAAACGATACTGATCTTTTTCTTATCACTGATAAAAACTCATGACACTTTTGAAACAATGGGAATATTCTAGACTCCAAATTACAAAACACATTTTTCGGCAAATTTTTCAATATGATTAGTATTGAGAAACTTCCTGGGTTCGGTTCATTCCACTCAATTCACACATATCTGATCAGAAAAAACTCAAATTGAATTCGAGCAAAGTCGAGTTCATTCCATAAAGTTTCAACTCTATTGGTATTCTGAGACAAAAACGATGTCAACATGCAAATGAATCGATGGCATTTAATTGCATGAGTTCAAATTCCAATCGCAATTTTCACAGTTGCGCTTGTCGCGATTGGTTCGGTGCGTTCGTTTCCTTCCATAAAATTCGTCGATAGCCTACGCATCATATTCTCTTGCGCCTAGGTGCGCTCACAAGACAAGTTTCCCCCCCCCCCCCTCATTCAAGGTTTCATATTGATATTTTTATTCGTATCGTTGTCAACCATAATTTACATGTTTAACAATGACACCGCATGAAAAACTTGTTTACAACTTGCCATAGTTGTTCTTTGTATTGAATACATACCGAAATATAGTCACATTCTAATGAATCGCCTTGAATTATATCTGCACAGTTTTCATACTGATAAAAGGAGCCTAAAGGACAAAATTCCAAAATTTCAACTATGTCAAGGCAATGGACATTAAAATGCGTGACAAAAAGTCAATTCTGATGTAGAATGATTCAGTTAATTTGGTATAGAAATGTTATATCTATTTAAATTGCCTTAAGGCATCAATTTGATCTAGCATCTTTTGACGCTTGCCCAATCGATAACAAATGTCGAGTGTTCAAACATCAGCTCTCTTTACTAAAGAGTCTTTAGCCTAAATTCCATTGGCTCCTAAATCAATCAGTAATTTTTTTAAAAATACGTAAAATAACATTTCACTTCGAAACGCTATTCTATTTTAATTCTTTATAATTATTTCCTAAGCCGATTAATATATTGATTTCTAACATCACGCTGGATTAACAATGCTGGATTAAAAGAAGGAACAAATTGTGGAGAGAAAAAAAAAGTATTTGAACGAAAAAGAAAAACAAATTAAAACGGAAGAATTGATTGCAATGAATGAATTCCCCCATCACATACCTGTTAACTAATTGGATTTTCCCGATTCGAACGAGAGAAAAAAATCAATAACAGAAGCAGAGAATCAAGATAAGATCAACTGCAGTAAAAAAAAACTAATTCTAATAGTAGGACGTGTGTTCCCTTAAATTGTTTGACTTTTTTTCCACATGCGAATCACACCGTACAAGTCACAAGCTTCAGTTCAGAGAATTTGACCCATTGATAGCTTTATCAGTGCAATTCATCGAAGGAATTACGAGAGTAGCGCTACCATCGAAAAATGTTCCTTTTACTTCTGAATTTTCTGCTGAGACTATGTCATTCAAATGCATTGCACTTTAATCCATACATTCGAAAACTCAATGTCCTACATTTTGATGCTATTTTAATGGTCTATTGATATCAACGCATTTCAAATAAAAAATCCGAGTTGCCCCCAGCTAAATCATCACTTGAACTCTCCGTTTCGCCGTATCAGTGACTCTCTGTGCATAGCTCTGCGTTTAAATGCGTTCTTTATTTGCAATAAATCAGACTGAATCCATTAGCTGTGTAATCGTCGTTGGTGCAGAATAGGTTGAGAAGATCATTCAAATGATTGACACTTGACAGTTTCTACATAGAGAATAGCGGTATGCGTTAATGAAATTTTTTTCGACTTATGTGATTTGAGACACGTTTTTTTACCGAAGCAAAAAAAAAATCAAAATGGGATAATCTGATTCCAAAAATATTCTGACGATATTTTCAACAAAAATTACTCATTTTCGCCAACATTTTTTTACTTTGTTTCTTTTTTCACACCTTATCGCCACGTTGACACAATTCTTAAAAAAATGTATCAATTTTTTTTCCTCTCTACAGATCAATGGCTGGATCAGCCCATCATTCCATTGGATGAATACGCACCAGTTCAGGATGCTCGCATTTATCCGGTGAAGGTGAACACCGCTCAGCTTCTAAACGAATTCAATCAAGTTTATGATGCTGTTGAATTGACCCATTTGACACCACCGGAAACCCCTCCACAAACGCCGCCTCAAACTCCGTTGCAATCTACCTATCTCAACAACGATTCGAAGGTAAACATCCAAATAAATTTGATCATTTTTTTTGTCTCTCTCAATCGCTCACATGACATGCATTTTGTTGTTTATTTTTTGCCTTATTTACATCTTCTGCTATCTATTCCACTTGAAATGATTTTACTCTCGAAATCGTTTAATTTCAAATATCAGAAAAAGTTGTTTTCATGATTCTGCCATAATCACCGTTCTGTATTGATTCTTAAACAAAAAATCGCTATCAAATCCGAACTAAATCCAAACTAAATCCGATTTTTTTTTTTCAATTTTTCAGCAGAATCAATTCTTTTCGCAACCTATCACAAACTATCAGTTGCAGCTTAACGAACAATTCCAACAATGCAAACCGGAATCCAAGCCCATAATCACCAACATCATGCCAGCAATTCAAGCTCAGCAATTCCCATCGATCCTGGAGCAAGCCATCAATTTGGTGCAGCAAACCAGTCCGATTGAATACACTGAGAGTTTCGACGATGCTATGGCCGAAGTGGAAGCTTTGGTGCGTTCACGTGCCGAAGATTTTGCCGACAGTTCAATCGATGATGACAGTTCGATGTGTGGTTCATCGTCATGCTTCTCGCCACGTAGCGAAGCATCATCCAGCACCACCGATGATTCAGACTGGACAATGAAGTGTCCAGCCATTGCTACGGCATTCAAGAACAAACAAGCCAAGCAGAAGCAAAAGCGTAAGCCACGCATCAATCGTCGATCGCCCGAAGATCGTCAATCGCGTAAAAAAGAGCAGAATAAGAGCGCTGCCAACCGTTATCGATTGAAGAAGAAGGCCGAAATCGAAATATTGCTGGACGAAGAAAAGGAACTAATCAAGTGTCACGATGCACTTAAATCGCGTTTCGAAGATATCGACCGAGAAGTCAAGTTCATCAAGAAGCTTCTCCGTGATCTCTTCAAAGCTAAGGGATCCATTAAATAACTCACTTTCTCTCTCTTCACAAATTGCATTGTTAGTTAAGTTTGGTCTAAGTTTGATGTGGCATCCATTTACAAGCGCCTCCCACCACACGCCATGCATGTTCGAAATTCAATTCTATATTTTTTTCTATTCACACACACATATACAACATGCATGAGCGAGGCACTTTTATTTGGACAATGAATAATGATTTGGAATTATAGTGTTATTCAGTAGCATGTAAAACAATTTCAAAACAAATCAATAGAGAGACAAGATTTATTCAGCAATAATTAAATAATCGTTTGGTTTTCAGTTACGAAGTTTTATTTTTAAGAATATTAACAACATTACGTATTTCGTTTTATGTAGCACGTTAAGAGTAATTTTTCATCAATATATATATTTTTTTTGTTTTCGCACCGCAAGGGAACGTACAATGGCTTATCTGATGTTTAAGCAAAGAAAAAAGTCACACCTGATTGTTGAAGAAAATACCATTACTCTTCAAATCGATGTGATTTAGAAAAAAAAAAACATGCAATGCAATGTTTGTGGATTATTATTTTTTTTTCTTACCATCTAACGAATTGTTGGTTTTTGTAAAAGACTCCTCGTTTTGTTTCGCACACAAAAAACCAAAATTTGGACGCACATTCACAATCACAATCACAGAGTTTGTTTTTTGAACAATGAAAATAGGAAAAAATAGTAACGGAATTTGTGTTTACTTTATTGGAACCAAATTTCGAAGGAAAGAATAAAAATACACGTGTTTTCGTCATAATTCAATTCATTTTTTTTTTGACTTTGTATGTTCGTCACATTCTAAAGCCATTTTATTCTTAATCATTTTTTTAAAAACAAATCAAATCCCGTTTTACCTTTTTTTCTTACTTTTTTTCACTATAAAATTTATTTACATTCATATTTTACAATGTAAATTGTAATCAAAGAATAAAAATATTCAATTTAAAAGCTAGCGCGTTACAGAAAAAAAAGCCTGTTTGTTTCATTTAATTTTCATGTATAGTGCCTGTGCCAGATGCTGCCAATGATGTGATGAATGAGGTGAAACCACAAATGATGCCCGTTAAAATCGGTTGTCATCGAAATATAAAAACGGGTTGTATCGATTTCACCCCAGTTTGTGCCATCGTTTTTTTTTTCTCTCTATCAATAGCTTTTGTTTCGTAACCGTAGTTCGCAAGAAATGGCCTGCTGTTTCAATTTTCCGCGTAACCGATAAAATGATTGAATTTTTTTCCCTCTCCAAATCCCATCATGTTTTTTTTTCTCCAACTGTTACAATTACAGAACACTTGCCATCCACCCAGTTGAGCTGATGAGTTCGTGGAAAAAGTATGGCATTGCGATTTCAATCGTTGGGATGTTTTAGTGAAATGAGCGGCCAATTGGAATTGACATTTTGACTGAGCGCCAAGCTATTTTCATGACATTTTGGACAGTAATCAATGTTTACATTTTTCTGTACGCATTGACAACAACAACAACAACAACAAAAAGACAACACAACGAAGAAGCGATGCCAACCAGCAGCGAATCAACAGTTGAGATGAGCTGTCACTTGCATCCAAACAATTGCAATCGCAATGCACATAATGCTTGAGATTATAATTTAAGTATGGCAATTATTGCAAACAACGATATGAATGGAATTGACACCCACATTTCGATTCGTTTTATTTTCGCTTCTTTACATCAACATCAATTTTGTGTTGACATATTTTGCATTTTTGCATTTGATCCAATTGGCTTGGTCTTGTTGACTGACACAAGGTTTTACGTAAGCTTAGATTATTTACTCCTGCTTGCCACATTACTTTTCTCTCTCTCTCTCTCCTTCGGCCAACTTGTCAACGTTGCTTAATTCATCGACAATTTTGTGGTTATCTGGTACTTTGTAACGCTATTTTCATACTCGAAGAATATTATGTGCGCACTAAAAACATTTTTCCACGGCAAATAAATAAAAAACAACAACAACAACAACAACGGTAGCAGTAGCAACGAATTTCGACCGTAGGCTGTGCTTATAATAACAAGTGCGTAATTTTTGTTCCGAAGATAATATATTACTTCACCACTAACTTACAAGCTGTGTGCTCTTTACGGGCATGAAAAGTTGGGCTTAAGTCTAGCCAATGGCATCGACTCTAATCCATTTGTGTGTGGTTTCTATGCAATCAGGAAGATTTGCGAGGATTTCAACAGAACGAATTTTTTGTATTGAATTTTGTGTGTATGTGTCGACCGGATCAAAATCGCGAGCGAATTTTAAATATCCAAGAAAAACCAGACAATTTTCCAACTATTTATCATCAATCTTAAAAGCCCTGATTCATTACACTGGAATTTCTCTCCATCTACCGCATCGGCATTGCTGTCATCATCATCATTGTGAAACATATATCTTCTATCGTTATAGAATCAGTCCAAGCACACAAAAAACATGTTTCCACAAATGATACGAACGCAACAGGTGGTGTATTATTTGTATGTTGTGTCGGTTTCGCGGTTTTTCCGCAACAAGTTTTATGACGGCACATAAATCACTATAGCACAAAAGTATTCTGCACCCTAACTAGATCAAATAGACAAAATTCAACATATGTATTTATCACCATTGAAACTGACACAATCTGTTTACGGTGTAATGATGTTGAGCACCCCATGGAAATAAAAATAGCTGTTTCATTCCATCATCCATGTATGAATAGAAATGAATAAACAAATGCTGACAATTTTCGTTTTTTTCGGTAATCGGTTTCAACTGCATGGTCTGAACAGTGTGTGTTTATCTTGATTTTGTTGTTGCTACTATTCAAACATTGACTCATTGACATTGAGTCCGCTCCTTCACAGCCACATAGCGTCAAGCGTTGTTTCTTCTAAGCATTTTTCATAGAATCGAGCGTTATTTTTGTTTCGTTCAATTTTCCACTTATTTTTCAAAACAATGGCATCTCTCACTCTCTCTCTCTTAGCGACAATTCCATCCATTCGGGCAAATTGTTGTCGATTTCCAAAAGAGTTTTGTTTGTTCTCCATTCTGCAGATGAAAGGCGAATCACTTTTTCTTTCCTGGGGCGCCTGAAAGCAACAATTTGATGTGGAACCGTCGAATGTGAGAGAGTGAGCGTCGGTTTTGTTGTGTAAACGGATGGCCTAGAGAGATTTCAGACGAATGCAATCCAGGGTTAAAATGGAATTTCAATCGAACGAAAATCGCCAAGATCATTTTTGTGTGTGTTTCGTCCCATCGAGCGTATAAAAGTATATGCAAACATTGAATTCAGTTCACTGGCCTATTTCATAGTTTTGAGTCGAAGGTCGAAATTTTGATTTCACCAACGCCGAGTCGAACCGAAGCGAGAGAAAGGAAAATAAATGATTCAATTTGCATACCGTCCTTTTTTTAAGGTAAATTCCAATTTGAATTAAATATAGAAGATGCATTGTTGAATGTGGTTATTTGGAAGTAGAAAAAATATTTAACGAAACAAAAGCGGCGACGACGACGGTGGTAGTGGTAGTAGTGGTGATGGTTCAGAATTTTTAGCAGGAAATAACCTTCATTCCACGATATTTTATTAATTTAATTTACTTGTTTGGTTTGTGCTATTTGTTTTCGCTCCCCGTCCACTGATCCATTTCTCTTTCGCTCGGTGCGTGCGTGTATGTGTGGAAAGCGTACAAACAGAGAGATAAAAATGGAATGGTTTTGGTTCGGTTTTTTTTTCTTTATTCTCATTCTCTCTCTTCCGCTCACAGCATTTGTATGATGACATTTCAAAAAATAAATATAATCAATTTTATTTTGCTGCTCCAAATGTGAATGCTGGTTTTATTGCGGGTTTGTCTTCTGTTGTCGAATCCAAATGTTGGCACAAACACACACAAACACACACACACACACACACAGGGACAGTGAGACGGAGAGACATTAGTTCTTATGAAATGCAGAGCGAAAGAAAATAGAATAACCACCGTCGCATTCGCATCGGTTTGGTTTGGGACGCATACATTCATGTGATTTGATGGACCCATGTAAACGGGTCGGCTAGATTATGAAATATGTACGTCTAATGTTCCACGCATGTTGATATCATTGGCGAATTTCCATCGTTGACGTTGTAAACAGCGGGTCGTTTTTGGTCGTTACACAATTTTTCCTTCTTCGCCACACATACACACACATCTATTTACAATTCCAAAATGAAAATGGTACAGACGAATAAAAAAAACAACAACAACAACAACAACAGCAGCAACCATGTTATACAAAGTTTAACATCATTTTTATTTATTTGCTAGAGCTTGTGCGTGTGCCTGTGGTTGCGTACGCGAGCGCCTCATGAAACTTACCGTTGTTTTCCAGCATTCAGCGCAATCAACATCGGTAAAACCGTTTCGATCGTTATATTGTGCAAATCCATTGGGGACTGGAAATGAACGAAGAACGAGAAAAACACTTAATTTTGCGAGTAAAAGACCTGCATTTGTGTCTCTGAACATTGCTTTGAGGTAGCACTTCCGAAAACTTGTTTCCCTTCGACCGTATCCGATGTTGCCGTCACCGTCGCCACCGCCACTCCCGTCGTCATCGTGGCACAATGTCACGTTTTTCGCTGGGGACGATTCATTTTTTAATGATTCAATAACCAATCGTTTTAATGAAGTTAATAAAATAACGCTTCGAACGTCAAAGATTATATAGTTTCAGAACTAGTTAATAAATAATCAGTTTCATCGTTCGCCAACTTTCAATACTTTTTACAACACCACTATATTATCCATTAATGATGTGACTTTTTATCGTTCTACTTGTTTTTTATAATACTCTCAATACACACTGAGAGCAAGATTTTCTAGGCGAGCGAGCGAACAAAAAAAAATCAGTTGCAGAAGATTACATGATTATTGGAATTTATTACGTGTAATTTTTGCAAAATGAAAAATGTGACGCACATTTTGTGTGCGCGGCAGCTGATGTTGGAGCGGAAAATATGATCAAAATAGGGAAAAGTAAGAACAAAAAAGACAAAAAAAAAACAAGAAGAAAAAGAAGAAAAAAGGAAGAAAAAGTGAGCAAAATAAGAAAAAAAAAGGAACCAAAATAATTGACAACTTGCGAGGTGTACTATAACGTGTCAAAAGCCAGAGCTGAGAAAAATTAGTATTCCACGCCAGTCATTGTATTGCGATTGATCTTTTTCTATCGAATAAACATTGATTGGTCTACTTCCAGATTAAACCTGATAAAAATTTATCGTGTTGTGATTTCTTTTCCCCGCCTCTATCTCTTGACATATGCCTTCTTCCATCGAAGTGTCTCGTCACACGTCAATGCATCGAACGGGAGCAATAATTTCCTTTCCTTCCTTTCATTCTTTGTGTCATGTTAATCGAGAAAAATTTACATTTTACGCAATACACGCTCGCCAATTACATGGGGGGGATGAGCCAAATTAGAATGGTTCACGCACACTTGATAAAGACAAAAATAAGAACCGTGTTGATGTGTATGCGATCGGAATTGTAATTTTTTTTTCTCTCTTCAAAATAATTCCTCTTCCAAAGTCGCTGTATTTTTTTACACTCGCAAGAGTTTTTCCAGCGAACAAAATCAAAATGCATATGAAAAAGCGTTGGCAAAAGAAGTGAGTGAAAAAAAAGTGTTATTGCTTAATCTTGACGTTGACGTTATTATGTAAATAGCATCAACTTGGATGGAATGCATAGTGGTTGGAACTTTAATGGACA